GGCATAGGAAGCTGCTTTAGTGGCGAAGTCTACTTGCTATCACAGTCTCCCATGTGGTTCAACTTCCAAAGCATGAATGTGGAAACTAAAGCCCAGGAAGGATCTGTGAAATGGGGGAATCTCTGCCTGTGTTGAAAAGTCTGCACCCAAACAGAAGCCTCCCAGTGCTGATGTGTGGCACTCCACGTGGTGCCAAGCAGTGAATTCCTGAGTGGATGAGATTGCTGCAGATTCTCTGCCTGATCTCTCTCATACAACACAGCAAAGCCAGCTGACCAGGAGGGAGGGGTTCAACCTAGGTCTCACTGGCATTTAGGAAGAATGAAGCTGAAAGTGACATCTTGAAAACTGAGTGTCTATCTGCTTAATATGAGGCAAACACATTGCTGTTTCCACTTGACACTTCTTCCAAAAAATTTAGCAAAGCTAGAACATTCATGGAAAAGTAGTGAGCCTTACCATTCCTTCATCTTCAACTTCCAGGAGCAAAGAGACTGTTATCTTTAAACACTTCTCTGACCTGGGAGCAGTGGTTCATGCCTGTAATCCCAGCTAAAGAGGCTGAAGCCAGAGAATCACAAGTTGCAGGCCAGCCTGGGCAATTTAGCAAGACCCCCATCTCAAAATAGTTTTTAAAAGGCTGGGGGTGAGGGCTGGGGCTGTGACTCAGTGGTAGAGTGCCTGCCTCACACGGTTGAGGCTCTGGTTCAATCCTCAGCACCACAAAGGCTGGGGGTAAGCCATGCACAGTGGTGTACATCTGTAGTCCTATCAACTAGGAAGCCTGAGGCAGGAGGATATCAAGTTGGACCAGCCTCAGAAAGTTATTGAGGCCCTAAGCAACTTAGTGAGAACATGTCTCAAAATAAAAAAAATGAAAAGGGCTGGGGATGTGGCTCATTGGTAAAGTGTCTCTAGAAAGGAAGGAAGGAAGGTAGGTTACGGCGGGAGGGAGGGAGAGGAGAGAGAGGAAGGGAGGGAAGAGAGAAAGGAAGAGAAAGAAAGGAAGGCAGGGAGGGAGGCAGGGAGAGACAGACAGGTAAACAAATGCCATATGATTGAAAAATCAAAAACTATAAAAGCTTATTATTTAGAAATATAGACAGACCAGAAAAAAATAGCTGATAGTTGAAAGTGGGGAAGGGCAAAGGAAAAACAGGGATTTTTTGTTGTTATAAACTTTTGAGGGGCTGGGATTGTGGCTCATTGGTAGAGTGCTTGCCTAGCATGCATGAGGCACTGGGTTCAATCCTCAGCACCACATAAATGTAAAATAAAGATATTAAAAAAAAACTTCTGAGCACTATTTTAGTTTTTAAAACACATTTGTTGTTTGATAAATTTTTAAATTAAAGCAAGCCATTCTAGTTAACAGTGTTGGAATCAATTGGAAGCAACTGAAAGTAGAGACAAGGAGAGTACAGAGTAGAGTGAACATGAGTAAAGAGATCGACGATTAAACTAGAGTAGTGGCAAAGGGAATGGGGAGTAGGGGGTGGAGTGGAATAGTCATGCACAATGACAGACTATACATAGGACAGTAGTTCCATCAAATTATAATGAAGGTGAAAAACTTGCCTAGTGAAATAATAGCTAAAGAAGAGGCTAGAGGATAGCAGACTGTGTGAAAAGAAAAAGAACCCCCAAGAAAATGCACAGCCAATGGTCTAGTAGCGTTTAGAAACCTCAACAAGTTCTGGCAGTTTGAAAATATGGACACCAACACCCAAAGGTCTTCATTGATTAGAAGTGTTTATGGTATGTTATCTGCTTACAAGCAAATCTATCATGAAAAAAAAAAAAAAGAAACCAAATAAATCACCATGAACATGTACTTTGGAAAGAGCAACATCACTCCAAAACGAGTATAAGGAAGGTCTTTTAGGAGGTGTTCCAGAAGGCAGTGTCATCATAGGAGGTGACAGCTTCACGTCTATCATTGCCCCTGAAGAGCTTCCGGTGAAGGAAGACACTGATATATTGATGATCCTGGCCCTGTGTAGGCATACTTAATGTGTATGTTTATATCTTAGTTTTAAACAGAGAAGTTTTAAAAGAATTTTTTAAATGTTTTAAATAGAAGCATATAAGATAAACATGTAAAGAAAATATTTTTCCAGGTGCAGTGATGCAAGCCTGTAATTCCAGCAACTCAGGAGGCTGAAGCAGGAAGATTGCAAGTTTAAGACTTGCCTTGGCAACTCAGCAAGACCCTGTCTCAAAATAAAAAATAAGATAACATGAAAATAAAGGGCTGGGGATATAGCTCAGTGGTAGAGGGCTCAGTATTTGGAAATCAGAAAATATCTTTGTGTAACTGCAATATGTGTTTAAAGTGTATTATTACAAAGGAGTCAAAAAGTTTCTAAATTTTAAGTTTAAGCCTGGTTTGTTGGTCTACTCCTGTAATCCCAGCAACTCAGGAGGCTGAGATAGGAAGAGCATAAGTTCAAGGCCAGTCTCAGCCACTTAATGAGACACTGTGTAAAAATAAAAAGGGCTGGGGATGTAGCTCAGTGGTAAAGTGCCCCCGGGTTCAATCCCCAGGTATTCCCCTCCCCGCCAAAAAAAGTTTATAAAGTAAAAAAGTTATAGTAAGCTACTTGATAATTAAAGAAAAATATTTTTTATAATTTATTGTAGCCTAACTGTACAGTGTTTATAAAGTCTACAGTAGTGCAGTATGTACTGGGCTACACAGTTACTAACCACTCACCACTTACTGACTCTGCCAGAGCAAATTTCAGTCCTAAATGCTCTACTCAGTAGTTGCCTTGTATAGGTGGATCATTTTAAAATATTTTTCTTTATGTTTACTCTACATTTAGCTGCTTAAAATACCTTTGTGTTATAATTGCCTGCAGTACTCAGTATAGTAACATGTGGCACAGGTTTGTGACCTGGAAGAAATAGGTGATAGGCTACACCAACTAGGGTTATGAAAATCTCTTATGATGTTCACACAATGATGAAATCATCTAGCAACATATTTCTCAGTATATGTGCATCATTAAATGACCCATAACTGTTTTTCAGGTGGAAATGACAGGCTGTGTGACTAGAGGAGTGAGAAGGAACAGGAAAAGCGAAAGTCTAGAATGACAGGTTTCTAATTTTAACAACTGAATATTCTAGGAAGAGACGAATAAGTTTGTGGTAAAAGTATTAATCTAAGTGACAAATGAGTTTGAGGTAGCTAAAGAACATCCAAGCAGCCATGCTAGATGGATATGGATTTTAAGTTTAGGAGATGTCTGGGTTTAAATGAGAAGCTTAGTGAAATAGATCTATCCAATAAACTCAGCTCAGTCCCAAGAAAATCAATCCAAATGTGCCCTTGAGCCACAATAGTTAATGGATCCTGGGTAAATTGACTGTCTGGTGAGAACAGAAGTTCAAGTTTATTCTAGGTGTGACCTATTAACGGCTCTCACCTGACAGAAGTCAGTCCCTCAACCATTTGCCTTGTTTCTCTGGAAATCACTGAAGGTGGGCAATGTTTTCTATCAGGTTCGTGCTATAGTTCCAATCTTTCCCATACTTCTGATTCGCTTCTCACCATCCCTGTATACCACTGTCTGCTATTTCTTGTTTGATGCCAACCAAATTGATCCAAAACACCCAAATGGCACTGATCCACACTTGATCTCTGATATCACTTGGGAAGATGAGGTCTCTGCTGTTGACATCTGGAGGTACTTGCTATTTTGGAATCCTTGTCGCTTAGGTTGACTGCATCAAAGCAGTGCTCAAGCCACCCATGTGGTGAAACTGACAAATGAGAAATCAAAATGAGGGTCTGAAAGTTATTGTTCTGTAGGAGAATTCAGAAACACTTGATTCCTGCCCTGTACACATTCCTATCCCTCATAGAGTCTCAAATAGCTATGAACAAGAAAACACTAAATTAAGTTAGAAATGAATGCCACTTTATTAATAACTGAGGCAATATTTGATAATCTACAAGGCAGGGGTCTGATAAAAGCTGAACTGCAGCTCTCACAAGGGTAGAAGCCAAACATCAGAGCGAGGAAAGGTTAATCAGAACTCAGCACTGTAGCTGGGAAGCAGTGTCCTCTAAGGCTAGCTCCATTACTACAGAGCAGGAAGAAAAAGCAGCCAGTGTGCAGCAGGAAAATAAATAAGGCAGAGAGCCCAGGTAGGCTCAGTGAGTAGCTACTTCTGCTTCCTCTCCAATTCCTAGTGTCAGGCCCTCTGAAGACCTCAATATATTATCTGCTTTAATTCTGTATTCCCATTGCACTTTTGATTTAAACTCACTTGTGTGGGTTTGTTGCTTGCAACCAAAAGTGACCAGTGAGGAAACTGATATCACCCTCAGTTTTTAGAACAGAACTAGCCAGTTGGCCTACAATCTATACCTGCTAAAGGAATTGGGATTTTGCACTGATACTAAAGAACAGGTCAAGTCTATTTAATTCAAGAATTATAAGCTAATAAAAATTAAAGAAAAAAAAGAATTATAAGCTAATTCATAACATTCTTACCCAAAACCCAATAGTACTCAGAGGGCTAGTGAATCCCAAACTAAACATCATGATTTTGTTGAATCTATCTGTGTGTGTGTGTGTGTGTGTGTGTGTGTGTGTGTGTATAGGGCAGGGGATCAAACCCAGGGGTTGGTGCATGCTAGGCAAGCACATTACCGTAATTCAGGGCTAAATCTCCAGCCCTGAATTATCCTTGTAAAGACCACTAAGGCTCTGTCTAGTAGCAACATGAAAAAAATATGAAGTTACGGGAAATTAAGCTTATGGAAACTCTCAATGTGAAATTTCAAACAACTTTTCACTCGTGAAAATAGAGGAATACTTCTTGAATTATGTGAATTTAGTTTCTTTCAAGGAAATATTTATTACATGGTACATGATTATTCTATTCAGAAACAAAAATGGAAATCAAGTCATCTGTAAAATTTTTTTAAAATATTTATTTTTTAGATACAGGTGGTCACAATATCTTTATTTTTGTACGTGGTACTGAGGATCGAACCCACTGCCTCACGCATGGTAGGTGAGCGCTCTACCTCTGAGCCACAACCCCAGCCCCAACTATCAAATTTAAATGCTGAACCAAAGTTCTTATTTATAGAATTCATCAATCATGATTCCGATCCAGAACTACCAGTCCATGATTTCAAATACTCGAGGATCTTCGTAGTGTATGGAACACAATCTTCTTTATATGTGACAATCGTTTCCACATAAAACTGTTTTGGGGACTCAGGTATTTCACTTGTTGAGACATCCTTTTGCTCTACTTCATTACCTTAAAAAAAAGGAAACACCTCAATTATTAACTTATGAAGCAATTGTTAAAGTCCTGGAAATAAACAAAGGTAAAAATTATGCCATCAGATGCCTGTACTTTCTTTCTTTAAAAAAAAAAACAAGACTATTCAGGAGGCTGAGGCAGGAGGATTTCAAGTTTCAGGTACAGCACAGTAACTTGGTGAGTCCATGCTCAGAATTCAACACATTGTTTTAAAAGGTTTGGGGATATCACTCAGTGGTAAAGCAACCCTGAGTTCAAACATCAGAATTGAGAAAAAAGAAAAAAAAAGTAAGGAAAAACATGACCACTAGAAATTAAATACTTAAATACTGGACATAAATACTTAATATTCATGAACAAATGACACTTTCAGCACAAGTTTCACACTACAACTTTACCGAGATATATATGTATGTATATGTGTGTGTGTATATATATATATATATATAAATACACACACACACACACACACACACACCATACAATTAACTCACTTTAAAAGATACAATTTGCTCGGGGCCCAGTAGGGACGCTGAGGCAGGAGGATCGCCAAGGTCAAAGCCAGCCTCAGCAACTTATAGCAAGGCCCTATAGGTAATTTAGCAAGCCTCTGTCTCTAGATAAACTATAAAGAGGGTTGGGGATACGGCTCAGCGTTGCGCTGGGTTCAATCCTTAGTTCAATCCTTCAAACAAACAAACAAAACACAAACAATTCAATGGTTTTTAATATTTTCAGATTTGTGCAATCAGTGATTCTGGTATCTTTTCATTCCGTATAAAACAAAACAAACAACAACAACAAAAAAAACCCTCATACCTGTAGCAGTCACTCCCATTCTTCCCCACACTTCACATTCTTCCCCACACCACACTAACCAACTTTCTATCTCTACAGATTTTCAACATATATTTAATGACTAAGGGATTCCCTTATCAGCCCAGTAACTGGAAAGATTTAAACAGTACTCGGGTGCTAAAAATTCTAAAATTAATTGCTCGCCATATGCGACGAGGGCGAATGATTCAAAGCATCACTTGGTTAAGCTCTCGTCCCGGGTCTCTGAAATTCCATCTTGGCCTTTACAGATTTACTTTAGTCAATAAACAAGACTTCGTTAACACTATCTTAAAAGCAATTGCTGACATTTAGTTATTTGCAGAGTCCATTATAACAAAGGGCTCTAAGCCACCGCTTCGTCTAGCCTACCAGAATAAAACTGGAACTTTAAAGCCAGGGCAAATCTCGTCCATTACCCTCCTGGGAACTTCCCACGGATGGCGGTGTGTCAGCAGGCAGGCCTGGAGAACCCTACCTGGTGGCTTTTTTTTCTGGCCAAAGTAAAACGCGGAACCCAACAGAGTCCAGGTGCCCATTGCATAGACCACAGACATCCGCCGGTACCAGGTCGTGGCCCGTTCCGGGTTCATGGCGCGGCATCTCCTAGAGTCCAGTCGCCTGTAGCCCAGAACGGAAGCAGGTCTCCGGACCAATCCGTTACCGGAGCCGCCGCCACCAATGAGAAACAGGCCTCGCGGCCACTTCCTGCCTTAGCCGCGGTGCATCCTGGGGCGTGTAGTTCAGAAGTCGCTCTCCACTCGCACGCTTGAGCTGGGAATGTTGGGATCCAAGACTAGTGCTAGCTACAGCACGCAACAAGTGGTGGGGAACAGATGGTAACTTTTCAGAGCCGAAACCTCTCACTTGAAGAATTGCAATGCCGTTCTTACCTAAGTCATATAGTTATTTGAAAAGGTTCATTCCGTTTCTCTTTCATTTGTCGTATTTGTGAGGATACCACTTCTCTCGCCGCAACTCTGCTTTCCCTCATTTTCCTGTCCGGAATTCCGTCTGGGTGCACTTTGGTTACCTCCAAGTCAAAGCGAATCTTTCCTCTGTGTTCTGGATGACATTCTTTTACCTCCGCGGGACCTTTCCCCATCAATTACACCCGAATGCCCACCTCACTCCCATTTTCATTCTATTGACTTTTATCGTTCATCATACAAACCGTGCCCATGTCTCAAAAAATGAAAACATTGTTGATTCTATGCACCTTCAGCTTTTATTCATTCATTTCTTCAAAGTATAGTTTACTCAATAGACTGAACAATCTGAGAGCAAGGCTGGTGTGTTTGGTCCAAAACTAAAACTTTTTAACACTACTCAAACTTGATTTCTAAAGAGCATTTGACACTGATACTAACACCTGCCAGCCTCTTTTCAACGCCTGAAAAACATTTTCAGCTAAGTGAGGTGGTGCACTGTAATCCCAGCTACTCCTGGGCCTTAGGCAGGAGGACCTCAAATTTGGAGCCAGCCTGGGAAACTTAGAGAGAGCCTGCCTCAAAATAAAAGGGCTGGAGATGTAGCTCAATGGTGGAGTGCTCTTGAGTTCAATGTCTAGTAGGAGAGGCAGAGGATGGGGCGACAGAAATTTCTTTTCAGAACTTTTCACATTGCCCACCTTTTCAGAACTCTTCACATTGCCCACCTTTTAAAAATTGGCATTCTACACCTACAAAATCTAATTCTAAAGGTATAGTTGTCTTAAATGTGAAGGCTAAAACCATAAACCTAGAAGAAAACATAAGAGAAAAATCCTTGCCACCTTGGGATAAGCAAAGATTTCTTAGAATACAAAAAACATGATTCACAAAGCAAAAACTGATAAATTGGACTTTTTCAAATAGAATTTTAGCTCTTCACAAGTCACAGTGGAGAAAACAAAGACAGAATAACATTTTTGAAACTCATATATCTGACAAGGCCTTGTATTCCAGAATGTTAGGACTCCTAAAAACTTAATTATAAAAAGACAACCCAACTAAAAAGCAGATAACACTTCTGAATTCAATAAAAGGTATACAAATGGTCAATAAGCGCAGAAACACCAGTTATCACAGAAATGAACATAAAGCACCCATTAGAATAACTAAATTTAGACTGAGAATACACCAAAAGTTGCAAGGATTTGGAGAAGGTGAAACTCATAAATTTACTGGTGGGAACACAAAATGTTAACAAACTCTTAGCAAAGCTAGCAGTTTTTAAACCTGAACATGAACCTACCACACAACCCATTCCATTCTTATTTACCCAAGAGAAATAAAAACACCTCTGTCCACAAAGACATGTATATGGACGTTCTGTTTTATTCATAGTAGCAAAAAAAGGAAGCCACTCAAATGTCTATCAACTAATGAATGTATAAATGAAGTGATATACCACTTGACAATAAAAAGGAACTACCGAAACATGTACCACAAATGAAGCTCAAGTGGATTATGCTACATGAAGAAGCCAGGCACAAAAGAAACCAAACATAAAATTCTAGAGAACTCATTTTCATTTTCTTACAGATAAATCATTACCTTCTAATGTCATTCACTTCTAATTTTTTATTTGTTGGTCTTCCCTAACTAGAACATAAGCTCCATGGAGGCAAGAATATTTACCTCATTGCTATATTGCCAGCACCTAGAAGACTACTCCATAGAGCAAGTACTGGATAGTTATTTGTTGACGGATTGAAATAATAGCTCCAAGGTTCTAAGAGAAGATTATTTGGGGCCTAGAATTTTAGATCCAGCAAAGTTGCCAAATATGGAAACAGAATAGACTTGCAGATATGCCTAGATCCAATGAATTATTTCCCATGTACTCTTTTAGGAAAAGTTATTTGAGATAGCAAAATGCCTATGGGATAAAGATAGAGTAGAACTAATGCAGGATTCCAAATGAAAGAAACTCCTGGGTGACAGTTATGCATCACACCTAGAAAGCAACTGGACATCTGCAAACCTCTAAAGAAAAAAAAACGGACTAATTCAATAGAGTTAGCTAGAATTTTTCAGTAATCAGATAAGGAAAAAAAAAAAAACTCTCAAAAAGCAATCCAAAATGAGAAATTCCAAGGGAAACAAGTCTAGGAAATCATAAACCAAAAGAAAAGCAAGCCAGCATGTGGCATGATGAACACATAAGTGCCTATGATTTTATCATTTGGAATGTTTCTTTTAGTGGCATGGGGACTGACTGGGACAACAAACCTCTGGAGAAAAAAATGTATTACCACCCCCTCAATTGGACATGAACAATATTTACATCATCACACTGTGTAAATGTTCTTTATTAGCTTTCACAATCAACTTAGAGACAAAAACAAAATTATGGTTATAGGCCAAAATACAGATTTTATCAATCTTGATAATATAAAAATAAAGGTATAGCTAACCAAAACTGGAGGGTAGAGACAAAGGTCTTAATACTCTCATTCTATGAAAATAGGAAAGATAACCTGCTAAACATGAATATACCAACAAAAAAAATATAAGCAAAGAGAAGGTCTGAAATTGTCAGAAGAGTAGGTTTAGGTTTAGGGAGTGAAGGAAATTGTTACTTGTTATAAGTTCTTTAGGATAAAGTGTTTTGACCATACATATGTATTACTTTGATTAAAAAAACAGTACCTGTTCAAGTTATTTTACTTGATACCTAAGATTGTGTATTCACTGTTATAGCCACTTATGCTTTCTTTTTTCGCCCCTCATTACTGGGAACTAAACCCAGGACCTTGTGCATGCTTGGCAAGCACTCTGCCACTGAGCTACATTTAAAAAAAAATTTATTTTGATATGGAGTCACCTAAATTATCCAGGCTGGCCTGGAACTTGTGATTTTCCTGTCTTAGTCTCCTACATCACTGAGCTTATAGATGTTCACCATCATACTCTGCTTCCCATTAGTCATTCCTGATGTCTACCTGGGCTGGACTCCTGACATGGAAGTTACTTGTGAATCAGGGTAGCACCCCTCCACACTGCCTCAACAGAATTCACACATTTCATACTTTCCATAGATCTCAACATCTGGGCAGTAAGTAAGAATTAAGTTCAGAAAACACGTCTTAAAGGAGTTAACACACACACACACACACACACACACACACACACACAGAGACCTCAGGAAATCAAATTTGTTAAAATTTTAGCTAATGGCTCCAGATTTATTTCTTCTATGATCATTTAAGATTTCATTTGAATTTTGTTCATTTTTCAGATTGTATTTAGAGTCTGCACCATGAGTTTTGATTCAATAAAACTGACATAATATTTGTGAGTTTACAAAAAAAAAAAAAAAAAAAAAAAAAGATTTCATTTGAACAAGCTGCCAAAATACATCACCTCTGATTTTATACAGACCCCCCAAAATTTAGGATACAAAAAGCACAGAAACATCTTCAAGTACCAAAACATTTATGACTTCACAATTTCATGGTACAGGAAGAGGGACACAAATAAAGAATACAAATAAATTATTATCTGAAGACTTACATACAAAACTTCCTTTGATTATTTGTTAAAATCTGCTAGAAAAGTGAAAGGAATGTTATTAAGCATTTATAAACAATTGTGACCATGATTTGACAGTGTTTTCTTCAATTTTCTGGTCACATCTTTAGCTTAACAGGCACTGGAGACAGCCAATTTCTTCAAATGATCCATGAACACCTGCAGGCTGACATCATCAGTAAGGATGGGTGCTCCAGTCTCCTGAAATTTAATGATAAAGGCTTACTGACAGATACCTGAAAAGCCGGTGAGAATTCACAAGTTTTAAAATACCTTTTCACAGGTCTTCCCTTTGTTCTACATCACTCCTATTCTCTGCCTTGCTAACTACTTTCAACTGAAGCATAATTTCATCACAAAAGCCTTCCCTGGTTCACTGAGACTAGGCCACAACCTCTGCGCATTGAAGACACAGTTTTGAGCATAAGCCTTTCTATTTTACCCTCTCTCACCATTCTGAGAGCTCGAGTTCCCACCAGATATGAGCTCCCTGAGGCCCACATACTCTTCTCCTTTGTGCCCCACTACTCTGCCAGCATAGCTAGAGCCCTGCTCTTCAGTGCTCTGCTTACAACAGGAGCTTGAGAATGGTGTGCTCATCACAGATGAGTAAGTCAGCATCTCCACTGACAGATAGATATTTGTAATATCGGAAAAAACTTATGATTTAATTAACACTGTGAAAAGAACTGGATAGAAAACTTGATTTGTAAAGACAGATAATATACATATATTTTATATATAAGTATAATTGTATTAATCAAATACAAATACAATATATAATATACATAGTAGATACAATATATAATTATAAATTATACTTATATATATGAATATATATACACAAACAAAATTATATTACCTATAAAGAAGCTAGAAATACTAACTATAGGTAATTTTATTTTACTTGTTTTTTCTAAATATTCAAATTTTCTAAAATGAAACTGTACTATTACAATTAGAAAAATGTAAACATGATCAAAATGTTATAAGAGAACTTCCAGTTCTGGGAAATAGGAGTTGATAATGTAATTTTTTTCTATTCCTCCCACTAAATACAACTTAAAACCTTGGACATTTTCTTTCTTTTTTTTTTTTTAAAGAGAGAGAGAGAGAGAGAGAGAGAGAGATGTTTATTTATTTATTTATTTTTTAGTTCTCGGCGGACACAACATCTTTGTATGTGGTGCTGAGGATCGAACCCGGGCCGCACGCATGCCAGGAGAGCGCGCTACCGCTTGAGCCACATCCCCAGCTGCAAACCTTGGACATTTTCTATAGAAAACATCAGAAGATTTGGATGTAGCTCTGTTGTAGAGCACTTGCCCAGCATATACAGGGTCCTGGGTTCAATTCCCAATACTGGGGGAATTGTGGAGGAGGGGAGAAAAAAAGCAAATAGTCCAACGTGGCTATGGAAAAAAAATACAAGAGATTTCTTTGAAGAAGATACATAGCTAGTAAAGAACCTACCTTTGTTGAATGAACATGAAAAGATGTTCAATATCATTAGTCATTAGGAAAATGTAAATTAAAATCACAATATGTCATTGGACACCCATGAGAATAGCCAAAATAAAAATAATGATAACACTAAATATTGGCAAGAATGCAGAGAGACTGGATCACTAATATATTGCTAGTAGGGATATAAAATAATATAGGTACTCTGGAAAAAATTGGCAGTTTCTTTAAAAACTAAATCTGTAACCACCATATGACCTAATATATGTACTCCTGAGCATTACTCTCAAATAAATAAAGATTTATGTTAAAAAAAAAAAATCTGGGCCAGGCATGGTGGCACACACTTGTAACTGCAGCTCAGGAGGTTGAGGCAGAAGGATCATAATTTCAAGGCCAGCCTGGGCTACTTTACTTAGCAAGACCCTCAAAATAAAAAAGGACTGGGGATGCAGCTTCATGGTAGAGTTTATTAGGCCTTAGGTTCAACCCCCAGCACTACAAAAAACAAAACAAAACAAAAAAAACCTGTGTTAGCAGCTGCCCTTCATGAATGAAGACTAAATAAACTGGGACACATTCATACTTACTGTGAATTAAAATTTGGCAGGTAAAAAGGAACAAATTGTTACATGTAACAACTTGGATGAACCTCTAGATAATTATGCTAGGGAAAAAAGCCAATTCAAAAGGTTACATGCTGCGTGACTTCACATTTTTAACATTGTTGGTGACAAAATTATAGAAATGGTGAACAGGTTAGCAGTTGCCAGGTGTTAAAGAAGAGACGGAAGCAGGAGGGAAATGAGTGTGACTATAAAAAGGCAGTTATGACAGATCCTGTGGTGATGGAAATTTACATCTTGACTATATTGATATCCTACTCTGACACTGAATTACTGGTTTGCAGGATTTTACCATCAGAGGAAAAATGAGTAAAGGTATATGGAAGCTCTCTGTATTTTTTTTTAACAACTGCATATAAATTTACAGTTATATCAAAAATAAGTTTTAAAAAGGTTATAAGAAAATAGAATTTTAGAAGTCATATGTGAGAGACAAATGCTGGGAAAACTAGACAAAGGAGGAAGAGGGATGAAAAGTGAAGAGAAGGCAGAACCAACCAATGGTGAGCAGGAGTTGCCCTGTGGTCTTGGGAGAGGACTGCCATGTGTATGGGGAAAGCCAGCTGGAGCCACAGTGCTGTGTTCTGGCCCTGGCTGACCCTGACACATGGACACTGTGGACTATGGAAGGAGACCCACATAGGCAGCTCCCCACTCCCATCACAACTATATCAATTGAGGGTTTCTTTGTTTTTTCCCTTAGCAAAATACCCAAGTTATTCTGTCTCTGAAATAAAAGGATGCGAATTTTTCTGACTTTAAAACATGGTTTTTAAGAAGGAGCATGGTCTATTCCACAAACACCTGACAATTTCTTACCTGTCCCCAAGCATATAGGTTATTGTGTGTCTGAGAAGGGTTCACTTTGGACAGAAGAAATCGAGCCTATGAAAACAAACAAAAAATACCATTTAAAGATTTTTTAAAAAGTAACATTAATATTAGTGTAATAGAAAAAAGTAAGATAAATTTTTTTCAATACTTTTTTGGTTAAATTAGACATTTTTTATTGTATGAGAACCTATTTGTTTAGCTTAAGCCCAATGGTTCCCCACTCATGAAGGATCCTAAAAACACTGGTAATCCTATGCTTTTGATATCAGCACATACCTTTAAAAAGTAGTCATAGTTGGAAGATTACCTGTATGTCAATTTATGTCACCACATAAAATAGTATTACTATTTTGTTGTTGTTATTGTTTTTGTTTTTGAGGAAAAAGAAAGTTTTATTGTTTTTCTAGCAAAGAGAAACACAGGGGACTGCTGCCCAAAGGCTGTGATTCTGCCCACCAGCAGGAACAGGGGGCTTTTAAAGAGGTGATTCAAAGGCTACATCCCACATGTTCTCTGTTGGAGTTGTAACTCACTTGTTAATTTGGGAGATAGTCATTTCTGAGATCTTCTGGTACTAGCCCCAAAGTCTGGATTACTTAATTCCTATGGCAGGTGTGTACTCAAGGACAGCTAAATCTGCCTAAAATGGGGAAGAATTGTAATCCTATTTCCCCTGAGACTAGGGAAAGGGAGAGCCGTGTCTGGTTTTATAGCCATAAAAACAGATCATAAAACTGACAGATTGTTAGAGCTAAAACTCGGTTCACTCACTTGACTACCACCATGCTCCGTGTTGATGTAACGTGGCATTGGGAAGCGGGCTTGCAGAATTTCTTGAGCATCATCCAATGGTGCCTGCAAAAGGTGCTTGAAATTTTCGTACTCAGGCATGTCTTGGTAGCCAGCTTTCTGCCACTGGGCTATGGTCTATGTTAAAAAACAAAAAAGCAAACAAACAACAAAAACTGTATGAAAACATTATAATGTCAGCCCTGATCAATGTTCAGACATGCTACCACTCCCACCATCCAGAACATGTTCCCAGTGAAGTCTTGCGTTAAAAATGAGAAGTTTCTGAGGGAAGTAAAGCAGAGCTGGCTAGGAGGAGGAGAAATAGGAGCTGGTAAACAGGGTGCATACAAGGCACCACCTATGTAGTTCTCCCAGTCACCAGTTACACCTCGTCTTTCCTTTCTAACTAACTAGTTAACAAAGCCCAGTCTAAACAGTAATTTCTTCATTCTTCATAGGCTGGCTGCCTACAAAGAATCTGTGCCCCCATCTCTTTTCCTAACAGCATACACACATTATACCCTTCCTCTGTCATATAGATTGGGTGGGTCTCACCCATCCCCATCCCTTGCTCCTCCTGGGCCCTGAGTTAAGAGACTCTTGGCAGGGGGATAAAAGCTGTAAGAAAGTATCAGTGTTAATTAGGCAATGAAGAGAAGGCAATATAATAAACTATGGAAAATATAGGTTATTTGTCTCCCTATGGAGCTAAATACTTTGTACTTTATTCCCTTTTCTGTAGTCCTCAGACATATCTTATATACACAGGAAATCAAGAAATACTTATTATTATTTTTATTTAAACTTTTTTGTAGTTACAGATGTACCACATGCCTTTATTTCATTTTATTTTTAAGTGATGCCAAGAATCAAACCCAGTGCTTTACACATGCTAGGCAAGCGCTCTGCCACTGAGCTACAGCCAACCCAAGAAATACTTAACTAATCTGTGTATCTTATAGGTAAACTGGAGTTCTTTCTCCTGTTATTTTAGGGATACAAAGAAAGAAAAAAATGGAGAGGAAAAGAGAAAAGATATAGCAAGTGTTCAATGAGTTTTAGCAACAGAACTATAAATATGACACCAGAGGACCCTCTTTAGATGGCTCCTTTCACAGCCTGCTCTCCTGGTCTTCTCAAAATTGTCAATTACCATTCCCCAAGTCTTAATTTTTTTTACTGACTGGTGACCTGGAAGAAATGCCTACAAGCTCACTTGGGTCCAAGAGTTCATAAGAACCCCCAAAACCAGTAGACTTAGGGATTTGGGAGAACAAAAACAATATTATTGATTTTGTCTTTAGAAGCCCTAACTTGAACACAGAAGATGCTTAACAAATATATGAATAAATAAGACTGGGGACTGCATTAAATATCTATAAGGGGTGAGCTGAAGCCAAATGAGGTTATACTGTTAGTAAGAGCAGTTAGCTGATCAAGTGGCAGGCAGAGTGGGTGTTAACATGCTGAAAAAAATTTCAAGATAAAAAATATTGACTAGTATTAGAAAACTAATATTTCCTAGGTTAATTCTAAAACATTATCTTCTCAAGACATTCGAAATCACTTCTAATATTGAGACTCTAGGAAGTCAAATCAAGTGCCTAAGCAATTTACTGAATGTAAATAATGAACAAGAGAAAATTCATCATTACTGAATATGATACTCAATAAAAGGATTTTTCTCCCATAAAGATATAAATAATTCAGAAGAACCATTCCCCTTGGGAATCCACTTCTTTCTCTTGAAGCTTTAAGAAATGGATACTGCCCTGGAAGCCATACACAGCCAGTTAAAGGATCCATAGATCCAGAGTAATGTTTTTTTATGTTATTTCATCCAAGAAAAAGTATAGCCCCAAACATAACTCTAATATAACACTGAAAGGACAGTAGTTTGCATAAAAAGTTTACTAAAGAATAAACTGGTCTTGCCTAAAATTTACTTCACAAAGTAATCAATTACAGTGATTTAAAAGATACCTGAGATTTACTAACAAATATATTAAACACACAAAATGTACAAATATCCCACAGACCTGAAAAAAGATTTTGTCTCATTTAGAATAAAGTCATGATATTCATTATATTAAATTGTGTGTTTTCTAAGACCAATTTTGTATGGTGAGGGGAGGTGGCAGTGGAAGGGGTGCCACTTTCTAGAGATTAAACACAAGAGTGCTTTACCAATGAGCTACATCCCCAAACCTTTTTATTTTGAGACAGGTCCTCCCCAAGTTGCTGAAGCTGACCTCAAACTTGCAATCCTCCTGCTTTAGCTTCCCAAGTCACTGATATTACAGGCATGTGCCACTACACTAGGCTCTAAGCTCAAATTCTTGTTTCAAATGCCATTAAAAAAAAAAAAAAAAAAAAAAAAAACCCAAATAAATAGCAAGAAAACAAAAATAAGTCAGGAAAGAAACTAATAATACCATCTTACCTCACCAAGATAAATGACAATTTGGAAGAAAGTATCCATCAGCAAAATTCTGTCCGCCAGAATGCTGCTGCTATCCAAGAGAACTGGCTAAGGAAAAAAGGAGATATGTTATTGGTCTTCCTTCTTCCCTACATGGCAACCACTCTAATCCCACACCCAGAGCTTTGCTGAACAGTGAAGAAAGCTGTTTACAAATGTTTTCCACCACTTTCTGGTTTCTAACTCGGTGGTTGTAAGTCTCAACTTCACAGAGAGAGGATCCAAACAATCCTTTATCAATTGGGAAGAGAATTTAGTGATATCTTGAGATCTAGAAACCAGAAATCATTTTAAACTTTCTCAGTTTTGTGCTAGAATTCTATTTAATGAATCCAATGTTTCTCTCAAATCTATTTGAGCTGTAGTTGAGATGGAAATGGAGTTGCCTACATGAAAAACAGCATTTTATACAGTCTTAAAAAGTTTACTACAAAATATTTTTATTATGATTTTTATTTTAATTTAAAAATACTTTCGTTACATTAAAAATAAAGAAGAGCTTGCACATCCAACCTTACCTCTGGTGGCCCGTGGAATGAGTAGGAGTAGAGAATGGGCTGGATCATGATGAGGGACTGGGTCAGATCCTGCCTGGCAAAGTGGTGTCTATAGTAGGATGACTCATCAGGACTGTTGTTAAAAACTTGAAGAAATGGAGATCTTCTAAGATGGAACATGAACTGCATTTACCAAGGAAAAAAAAAGACGAATGTACATAGTTATAACCTTGGATACACAAAGTGGATCCACCTAAGGTTTGTGAAACAGGAGAACCCAGATTCAAATAGAAGGCCTCTGGGTTCACAAAGAAAGAAGCAGGTGACACCAGGGGATAAGGGAAAGGGAAAGGAGGAGTTGTTTAACAGGTGTAGAGTTTTAGTTTTTCAAGATGAGAAATTCTAGAGATCTGCTGCACAACAATGTTAATGTACTTAATATTACACATTGTACTCTTAAAACATAAGAAGGTACATTCTGTTATGTGTTTTTTACCATGATTAAAAATTTTTAAGAAAGTTTTTTTGTTGTTGTTTGTTTTGTTTTGGTACTAGGTATTAAACCCTTTGGGCACTTAATCATAGAGCCATATCCCCAGCCCTTTTTATTTTTTATCTCCAGATGATCTCACTAAGTTGCTGAGGCTGGCTTTGAACTTGTGATCCTCCTGCCTCAGCCTCCTGAGCCACTTGGGATTATAGGTGTGCACCACTGCCCCCAGTTAGAAAATTTCATTTATTTGTTTATTTATGTTTGGTCCCAGAGATTAAACTCAGGGCCTTTTAACCACTGAGCCATATTTCCAGCCCTTTTTATTTTGAGACAGGGTCTCACTAAATTGCTGAGGGCCTTGATAAATTGCTGAGGCTGGCTTCAAATTTGTGATCCTCCTGCCTCAACCTCCCACACCACTGGGACTACGGATGTGTACCATCAGGCCCGGCAAGGAAGTTTATTGTCTTGTTCTTCCCCACCCCTTTTTTTTAAGCATTTCTGGATATTTCAAAGCTTCCATATAAAATGGGAGAGCAAAGCATCGTTTTTTTCCCAGAGTTCCTGGGTTGTGATGTAATTTTCTCTCAAAGAAATTAAATCCAGTGAGGAAGACACAAATGGAGCTTTTGAATTATGAGCCAGGGTACAAGAAAATGGGCTTGGGGAAGGGAGTCCAGCAAGAGACTTCCCAAAGCTATAAGGCCTGAGGATATACCTTGCAAGACACGCATGAGGAGACCAGAGTCGGGTATGAGGAGGGATGGAGAAGGGGAGTCCGTGTACAGGAATGGTAGATGAGAGCTCAGGATAGACTGGTTAGTTGGAGTGAGGTTAAGTACAGGGGAGAAGGGCACAAGAGATGACATTGGAAATGTATGTTCTTTATCCTAAGAATTAGAGAGAGCACAGCAGATGGTTAGCTCACTCTGAAGAGTTGCTAGAACATGAAAAGGAGCTGCCTTTAGAAGTATTAAGTTTCTAACTCACCATATACTAAACCATAGGTTCCTAAATAATGTTGGCTGACATTTAAGGCATCTTATGTACCAGGCACAAAGGACTTGAAAAGAATTATTTTTTTTTAAAGAAATGGTTTTAAAAAAAATTTTTTTTTTTAGTTGTTGATGGACCTTTATTTTATTTGCTTACTTATATGTGGTGTTGGGAATTAAACCTGGTACCTCACACATAGGAGGCAAGCACTCTACTGTTGAGCTACAACTCCAGCCCCAAGAATGACTTAGTCCTTCCAATAAGCCCATGTGGGTTCTCTTGCCATCCTTAGTTTACAGGTAAGGAAACTGAGGTACAGAGGGGTAAGCAAGTTGCCCAATGTCACCTCACATCTGAGTGGCAGAGCTGGACTATAACGCAGGTCACTTGGCTCCAGAGACTAGACTCTCAACCAACCCCTATCCTAGAATGCCTTGACATAAGGAATCTTAGAAACCATCTGAACTGCTGGTTTCTAAACTGTGCTCTTCAGATTCTTAGTGAATCTTTGGGGCTTTGGGGTCAGAGGCTCTGATGTGACTCAGCAGGTGGGTGGTACATGAGGACAGAGCAGCACCAGTCTGTCTGCTTTACACACTGGCCTTTGAGGGAAAGTCCTCGGGCTTTAAAGAGATTGCAAACCAGTTCTCCAGATCACCTCCTCCCTTCTAAAGATGAGGAAACAAAAACCCACAGTGGTTTCTGATTTCAACGAAGATAAGCAGCAGCAGGGCCAGTGTTAGAGTTCCACCCTGACTGGCCTGTCCAGGACTCTTCCCACAATACCTCAAGGCCTCAGCCATTCCAGACATAGGCTCCTGAAAGTCCCAGGCTCCCCACTGCCAGCAGGCTCACATTTATAAAGTGCTGTAGGTGCCTGACACCATGCTAGATATTTAATACCTGACTGGCCTCAGTTCATGTCACCCCTACCCTATAGTCACCCACTGCGCAAGTTCTATTTCCTCATTTATAGATAGGAAAAGGGTTCATAAAAGTAGAATAACCTTTATTACTACAGTTGAGTCTCAAAACATAAAAAGTCTTCACTTTACCCCAATGACAGATTTATTTCAATCATAACTTTTTGTTCTATAATTATTTTTTATTTATTTTTTCTTTTTCTTTTGCAACGCTGGGGATGGAATCTAGGGCCCTGTGCATGCCAGAAAAGTGCTCTATCGTTGTGCTCCATCCCCATCCCCTAAAAATATATATTTCTTACCTGAGGATATAGAGAAAAGGAATCTGATAACCTAAAAGAAGTGGGGTCTTCTTTGTTATACTGTCCAAACTTCTGACACTAGAGAAAGAAAATTTAAAAAGAAAAAAAGAAAAGAGAAAAATCTTAGTGTCACCTGAAAAAAAATTTCAATACTATAAGCTATGTTACAACCTTACGTCTGCCATTTTCTTGTGTTCTAGACCAGCACTTCTCAGAGTAAGAGCAGAGAAATCACCAGAGCTCTTGTTAAAATGCTTTTTTCAGGAGGAGCTAGAGATTCTGTAATGCCTAGCCAGCTCTCAAGTAATGCTGGCCCAAGGTGCATCTGACCACCAAGGGGCTAGAAGAGCTCTCTCAGGTGCCTGTTCCATGTGAAAACCCTGAAGACTATAAACCAGCAATTACAGACACACCCTGGCATTCTCTCATACTACAATTCAGTTTTCCCTTCTTTCAATGACAGGTTTCAAAACCACATTGTTTACTCTTCCTGGCTTAATTTCTGATCACATACTTCCTCAGCCACTAGAGAACTAGGCTGTCCACCAGTTAAAGAAACCCCTTCTCTAACAATTACCTTCTTTCTAATAAGTTTCATGTCTTCTCATAATTCTGATCTTCTTGAGCTGATATAAGTCAGTTTCCCAAACTTCTTGAAATATTCTTTCAGTTGCTAAAATACCACTTTCCTATGTTTCTCCAACAAGTCTTCCCTGTCTTCTTTATAGGCTCCTTGTTTCTTTCTCCTCCTAACAATGGACTGCTCAGAGGTTAGTTCTTGGTTTTCTGCAGTCACGGTGTACCTTCACCCTCCTTTGACGGTGGTTTCTCCAATGTCTCCAGCATAAGCTGAAAGGTACAGCTACCTCCCACAGGCTGGATCCACCTGCCATGTCTTGCCTTCTCTCCTATTATCCTACTCTTTATAAAAAGATTTGATTCAAGGCTCAATTCCCACATGTAGCCTTTGCCAACCCCTTGGGCTGTCTGATCATCTATCCTCCCTTTGAAATCTAGAGGAACAATTTTCAAGTTTTGTTTGAAGTATTAATACTCCCTGATAAATGATTCCATGAGATGGCAAGGGCGAATAGAGGACTAAACAAAATTAAATAGGTTTCTTCCCTAAGCTTTAAATCACAAATATATGCTGTGAATCTCTGAGAAAGTAAGAATATGTAGTAGGCCAATTATCAATTAACTGCCTTGTGGCTCCAAATTTACTCCTTCTGCCTGCTGTGAAATGAATATGGGCCCTTTAACTACTTTGCCAGTTGGCATGATGTTCATCAGCTTTGCCAGAAGAGGATGAGGAGTCAAAGTGTTACTTGCTGAGTACCAGTGTGGTCATGTGGCAGCTGCCTTAGCACCAGATCCCTATCTCTGTGGCCTTTCCAGTGCTGAGATCCTAGAGTACACATAGCCAGTAGATACTCCAGCATCCCATGTACCTCTGCTGAGATACTTCTCTGTGAATAGCCTTCTCTAGTACCAGGATGATAAATTTTGTCAAATTCTAGACTGTTTCTAGCAAGTCCCTCTGACACAGCACCATGGCAAGTTCTCTGCTATAAAAGAGTCATTGAACCACAGCCACAATCTGGACCAGCCTTGGCGGGGGAGAGGGTGCTCTACCTCAGCACTAGAAGTCATGTCTGTGCCTTATATCTGCCAGTTCTCTTTGCTTCTTAGTAGCTAACCTCTCCTTAACCTACTCCCCTGTTTTAATAATTCTTCATATAAAACCTTCCCTTTATTATTGTGTGATCTCCCTCCTCTTAGACCCAGACTAACAACATGAGGCATTTCCCTAAACCCAGTGTGCTTAGGTCCCTGTTTCCAAAAACCACCTTCCAGATCTGGAAAATACAGGACCATAACATTCACAAAATGACTTATCTAATTCAACTCTTAACATGCACAGATTTGCATCACTCTCCAAATGTTCTGTGCATGTTGTTTCGTCCCACTACAGTGTCAGTCTTGAGGGAGAAATGTGCAGTGAATACTTCTTTCATATCAATCTCAAAATAATCAAGTGTTTGGCATAAAGTAAGTAACTGATAAATTCTTGCTGATTAATTATATAAAATAATAGGGTTAAAAGACAATTTTCTCAAAAGTGGAGCAGAGAAAAAGACTGAATCTAATGCCATTATTCCCACTTTACCAGTCGGATGAGTTGTCGGTCCAACCATCGGAGCACATCGGGCCCCTCCTCTGATTCTGCCCGGAACACTCCAAGCCGTGCCATCAAAACTGCTGCAGCCTCCTGGTCAAATGCAGCTTCTATGTGCCTGAGCTGACTCTGTGCATCTGCCCAACTGACAGTTTCAGAGTTAGTGCCACACATACATTCAGGAATGATCAGAAGGCCAGATCTCCATTTGGATAAACACGATCCTGTATCTTCATCTAAGACAACAGAGATTTGAACTGCACTTTCACTAAGAGATCACTGGAGTTTAACATATTCTCAATAACCTTCATGTGACCTCTGAAGGCTATAAATTCAAAAGAAAAATTATAGAAAAAAGAAGCATTTAACTCATTGATAATGGGGTGGGGGAAGAAAGTAGGTTATTGCTTTATATTTGCATGTTAAAAATTGGTAATATCAGGCTGGGGTTGTAGCTCAGTGGTAGAGTGCTTGTCTTTCACGCATGAGACCCTGGATTCAATCCTTAGCACTACATTAGATAAATAAATAAATAAAAATAAAGATATTGTGTCCAACAACTGAAAAATATTTTTAAAAATGGTAATATCGGGGCTGGGGTTGTGGCTCAGTGGTAGAGCACCTGCCTAGTACACATGAGGCACTGGGTTCGATCCTCAGCACCACATAAAAAAATAAAATAAACTGTTTCTATCTACAACTAAAAATACATATTTTTTAAAATTGATAATATCCATTATAAATGAGGCAACAGGGCATTCTTCTTAGACTACTGGGGAGAACACAAATTGGCCACTTAAGAGAATAGTTCTGAAGTATCCAAAATTTTATTGTCTGAAGGGCTGGAAAGAAATACCTGTGTGTGCAAAGACCTAAAAATATAAATGCATCACTGTGAGAAGGCAGGACTTGAAATGTCTTTTTAATAGAGGAATGATGAGCACCCAACTCATGGTGGCGCACACTAATAATCCCAGCAGCTCAGGGTGCTAAGGCAGAAGGATCACGAGTTCAAAGCCAGCCTCAGCAAAAGTAAGGCGCTAAAGCAACTCAGTGAGACCCTATCTCTAAATAAAATATAACATAGGATTGGGGATGTGGCTCAGTGGTCGAGTGCCCCTGAGTTCAATCCCTGGTACCCACCCCTGAAAAAAAAAATTGAGGAATGATGTATCCTATCCAAACCATGTAACCATTAAAATAAGTCAGAGATAGGCCTGCAAATACATACAAACATATATGATATATAATTTCACAGAAATGGGATTGTGAAGTTAAACCAGTAACAGCACCTCTGGGGAAAATAAATGGAAAGACCCACAAACATATAGTCATCTCTTGGATCCATTGGAGAATGGTACTAAGCTCCCCCTCATTTATCAAAATTCATGGATGCTCAAGTTTCTTATATAAAATTGCAATAATTTATGTACATTCTTCCATTTATTATTAGTATTATTACTACTACTATTACTACTACTATTATTACTACCAGGGATTGAACCCAGAGGTGCTTAACCACTGAGCCACATCTCCAGCCCTTTTATTTTTTATTTTGAGATAGGTTTGCAACTTGCTTAGGGTCTTGCTAAGTTGCTGAGGCTGGCCTTTGAACTTGTGGTCCTCCTGCCTCAGCCTCTCAAGACACTGGGATTATAAGCATGTGCCACCGTGCCTGGCATACTTTAAATCATTTTTAGATTACTTACAATATGTAACACAATAAAAATGGTATGTAAATAGTTGTTGATACTGCATTGTTTAGGGAATGATAAAAAAAAGTCTGTACATGTTCAGTACAGATTTTTTAAAAATATTTCCCATTGAGGTTGGCTGAATCTATGGATATGGAACCACATAAATACACTTATATTCTGCTTAAATCTTTAATAAGAAGTATGTATTTATGACTTAGCTAATAAACAAAATCATATTAGATAATTTCCAATGAACTACATTCTTACTGAAAACTGATTACCCTAGGCAAGTGCTCAAAGACCCAAAAGGGCTAGCCAAGAATGAATCCTCTTCTTCTGAACCATTCAATGGAATCAGAAAGAAAAACTCATAAATGCTAAACTATCTATTCACAGAAAAACCATTAACCAGTGATTCAACAGAAAAAAAACAGGGTGGCTCACTTTCGGGCAATGGTGGTCACACGGATGCGCTTCTGGGTACTGGAGTGCTGATACTGCGTGACAAACTGGATGGCACCTCTGCCTCCTTGGGGGATCGGGGCATTGTGCTGCAAGTTGAGAGGCCACACACTTGGTTACTGTCATAGGCATGACTCAGTCAGGGTCCACTGTGCTCCTCTACAATTGACAGCTAACATGGTGAGGATCTTGATGCATTCTAAATAGTACATTTTGGACCTGCACATTCATTTCACTGTACATAACTTTTACCTCAAAAAAAAAAAAAAGAAGAATAACCACATTCATTACTCCTTGGTCTGGGGCTATAGCTTAGGGGTAGAGCACATGTTTAGCATGCATGCAAGGCCTTGGGTTCAATTCCCAGCACTGGGGGAAAAAACAAAACAAAATTGAATCCCAGTTATCAATATATATGCTGAAATGTTTAGGAAGAGATACAACTATGATTGTAAGTTGCTCTGAAATGCATAAAAAGTAAGATAGATATACATACAACAAAGCAACTATAGTAAAATCTTAATTACAGATCTACCTGGTAGATATGTGGGTATTCACTATAAATTTTTTTTCAATTTCTCCATGTTTGCAATTTTTCTTAATAAAATATTGGAGAAATTCTCTAACATTACAATGAAGAGTAATGGCTGGTAAAATGACCTATCAGTTCAACAATAGAGTGATAAAATTAACTTGCTGTCTGAATCTGACTAAGCCCTGGATAGAAAATTAAAAGATTATACCATACTAGCATAAGGCCTAAAACAATATAAAGGCAGTACTTGTTTATGGAGAAAGTAATCAAGGAATAGTGGCTTGTATCCAACCCACCTGATTGACAACTTCAAAGTAGATGCCAAGCGTAGATGTAGGATCCAGACCACAGATTTTCCACTGACTCGTGCCACCAACACCAAGCTCCTACAGATGAGAAGAATTTAAAACACAAAAACCCAACTCTATGGTTAACTGTTAAAGAAAAATGCTGATGAACAGATCAGGACACTTAGAACATGAACTCTGAGGTAAAAATTTATATTATAGACCAGAAAAATCCTTAACATTTATTTTCAAAGCACTTTAAAATTTTTAAAGCTTTTAAGCTTTTTAGATTGGCACTCTAAACAATTTCATTACATCACATATATTAGAATTATCTACTTATTTTTGAAAAAAACAATTTTTTTTTTTTTTTTTTTTTTTTGGTACCAGGGATTGAACTCAGGGGCACTTGACCACTCTACCACATCCCCAGCCCTATTTTGAATTTTTTTAGAGACAGGGTCTCACTGAGTTACTTAGCACCTCTCTTTAGTAAACTCATGATCCTTCCACCTTAGTCTTCCAAGCAGCTGAAATTACAGGATTACACCACTGCACCTGGCTTTTTTTGAAAGTTCTATATACTTCTGACAACCATCAATATTAGTGGCAGAACTTTAGCTGTAAAATACTTTTTTTTTTTTTTTTTTGGCAAAAGCTATATATAAATTGTCAGTGAGGAAACAAAGGAAATCATAATGGTGTGAAGGCTGCTTTTTACTGATTCGTTGAATGGCTGCCAGTGATAAATATGAGGTTCACTTAAACATGAATTTGACATTGTTTTAATAAAAATATCTACAAGAAAACAACTCAAATATAAAAAAAAACCTAGAAACATCAAATGAAATTACCAGACCCTGAAATATACATTCTATCATCATAGAGGAGCTGGCACCACACCTTATCTGGATGCAGAATGCTGTGCTTAGAAAGTACCATGCTTAGACATTAATAGAGTCATCTATGTTACTCGACTCCACCCACACTGCACACTGTCAGCTGAGTGTACAACTGACATCTGTCTGGTGTGGAGCCATGCCAGGGCCCTCCATACCTGGCCACAGAACCAGCGATTTCAGGGAGGTGACAGTTTGAGTGGAGAGGAAAGATTCTTAAGTGAAATTGCACAGCAGTTCTAAGATAGAGAGCAGGGAGGGCACTCTGTTTTGTCAGCACCTCTTATGCAAGACTGTGAGATGGACGGATTTTGGGTGTTCAGCTTCCACTTTAAAGGTATTCTCTAAAAGAAGCAGGGATTTCACATCCACTGGAAGGTGAAGGGCAAAACCCAGCAAAAATGGCCAAGAAGGAGCTTATGGGTCTTCCCTTCTTTCTTCACTAGCTCCTTCTCTAGGCACAGGACTCAGCAATGGTACAACTCTCCAGTGCCCCAGAATAACAATTTCTCTCTAAAATACAAATGCCTTACTTAAGCATTTAAATGACTTTATTGGAAAAAGTACAAAAATAGAATTAGAAAACCATCATTTTATAATTTCTAGTGAAATAATTTGATTCAAGTGAAGATAATCAACAGCTAAAACCATTAAGCTGTTTGCAAACTGAATTTAATCACACCTTTAAAAACTTTTGCTTCTCAAGAAATACAGAGAAAAGAAACAACACAGATACTTACTCCTTCAAGGAAACCATCAGACATATCAAGAATGTGAGACATCCTATTAGAGAAGACCTCGGCACTATCACTTCAATAAATCAATCTCATGTTTAAAAAAAAAAAAAAAGGCAAAGAATATACACAAATGAACAAAAAGATGAAGACTATTCTAGATTTTTTTAAACACTAAGTATAGCTGGACACAGTGGTGCATGCCTGTAATCCCACAATTGAGGAGGCTCAGAAAAAAACAATCCCAAATTTGAGGCCAGCCTCAGAAACTTAGCAAAACTCTGCCTCAAAATAAAAACTTTTTAAAAGGGGTAGATGTGTAGCACAAGGGTAGAGTGTCCCTGGGTTTAATCCCCAATGTTATTTAAAAAAAAAAAAAAGGTTAGTGAAGCTACTATGTCAAGGAAACGCTAATCAAAAAGATAAGGCAAATGTGGCAAGAAAAGAGGACACAGCAAAATTATGGCAAACTGTTAACAACTGACAATGCTGAACAGAAATTCTTCCTTAAAACTTCTCTGTATGCTTGAAAATTAGATCTTTCTCTTTGTATCTGCACCGCCAATCAAAACTTTCAGGGCTGAACTCTATTGGAACAGCTAATTGTACTACTTCATAAAAATGTCTTCTTAACCTACTTCTCAAAGACTTCGCCAGTCATATTTTAAGTCTATGGAAAATACTCTGGTATAGGCAGCCTTTCCAAAGCCCTGCCAGAAAATAGGAATACAAGTCCTTTGGCACTCGGGGTTAATGAGTAACTCTTCAGATGGGCTTTTGGGCAGCAATCTGCCCCACCCAGGGAACTACAGGAATGTTCACTCAAACTGTCTTTCCTCTGCCAAGCTTGACAAAAGTTTAATCTGTGTAGTAACTTGTGAATGTTTGTTCTGATGAAGACAAAGATGATACTGTGAAACAGAACATCTCAAGTAGGCCTCCAGTATGTCAGGCTCTGTCCCAACTGCTTTACCTGATCTACCTTATTTATTCCTCCTAACAAGGCTGTGAGGTAGGCATTGTTATTGTCCCATTTGCCAGATAAAGATATTGAATTACAGAGCAACTGAGTATTTTGCCAGGGCTACACAATTACTGAGAGGTAGTGATGCCCTGAACTCAATTGGCTCTACAGTCCACCCTCCCATTAAAGATGACCATGAGGGAAGGACATGACTATGTCATCCTCACCTGGGACCATGCTGCATCAGACCAAAAGCTTTGCTTTTTGGTAGCTGAAGTATATATAATAAGAGGATGTGGGTCATCAGCAAAGCCACTCTCTCAAGTGATGACTGAATTGGTTTACATACACTCACAAATTATTACTAGAGAAAATAATGTCTGTATATGTAACAGTATCATCTGCTGCCTAACCAATTCATGGCAGTCTCTGTTGTAGGAAGGCCCATTATTAGCTGAGAGTGAAGCAAAGATATCAACTCTAAGGACAGCAAGCATATAGAATCCCTGAAGGATTCTGCTGAATGGTTGCCTTGTACTGTAGGGGAAGCCTGTGGCTCCTCAACAGTCACTCATGCATGGGTTATGGAGTCAGGGGGACCTGGGATCTAGCTTCTACATGTCAGCTCTAATTCTGAGCAAGACTCTAACCTCTGTGACCTGTCAGTTTCTTTCTCTCTAACACCATCTCTCAGAGTTGCCATCAATGAGGGTTAGCACTTTTCCCCCCACCATAGGTGACAATACAAGACCATTGTGCTCAGACTCATCTAATGAGTTATCTCCAGGGCAGATGAGGGTGATGGAGGAGTTTCCTTACATTTTCTGACACACACGGTCCTTTCACATTCAGAGATACACATGGACCAATGGCACCAGCAATCTTCAGTTCCCGAGATGTCTAAAATAAATTCACAACAGAGTAAATGTTAAAATCACTAAGATCCATCCTGCTCTCACAACAGGCAAATATAGCAATGTCATTCCACCAAAAGAAAATCCCACATGGATTAAAGCATCCAACTGCTCCCCTACTAACTTTTCCAGGGCCACTTGAATTAATTAAAATTTTAAAAAAATCTGCCTGTAGGTGCTGCATGAAGATGATACAGCATTTTCAACTCTCTCAGTTCACTTTTCAAACTTTAAAATTATATACCTAGAAGATAACAATTCTACCAACAAACTACATTCTTTTCCAATCCCATATATGGTCACAATTATTTACATATTTTTTGGTGTGGGCATGTTTTATTTTTATTTTCTAACTTTTAAAATTTGTTCTTTTTAGATATATATGACAGTAGAGTATATTTTGACATATATATACATGGAGTATAACATTCTAATTAGGATACCATTCTTGTGGTTTTATATGATATGATATGAGTGGTTTTATATGAGTTTCACTGGTCATGTATTCATATATGAACATAGGAAAGCTATGTCTGATATTTATGTATTTCTAACCAGTGAACATACTGTTTTGTGTTGCTTTAAAAATACTTAATTCATGAAGCCCACACAAGGCCAACTTGCTTAGATTTTTTTAAGCTGAACTCATTTCAAAAACATCCATTTCTGCTGGGTGTGGTGGCTCATATCAGTAATCCTAGCAACTCAGGAGGCTGGTATAGGAGGATCACAAATTCCAGGCCAGCCTCCACAACTTAGTAAAATTTGTCGCAAAATAAAATATAAAAAGGGCTGGGATATGGCTCAATGGTAAAGTGCCTTTGGGTTCAATCCCTGATACCAAAAAAACAAACAAAACAAAAAATCACCCATTTCTCTTTAACAACAAAAAATCTCAAACACATGAGAATGTTGTTTAAAGGCTAACCTAGATGATTTAATGATCACCTCCAACTCTCCATAGTTTCTAATGGACCTTTTTATTGTTTCCTCAATGACTCAGAGTCAACTGTCTCTGGCGATGAGTCCCTATGTGGGAAAACAAACCAAAACTCACAGTGCTGGCTGTTTTAGAGCACTCTGATAATTCTTTAGGCAAGTACTAATATAAACTGCTTATGGAATGCAGTAACCCATACTGATGGATGGGTGGACAGTGACTACTGTGTGGCTGCTATGCTGAGGTCACAATGCTGCTTAGAACACTCACCCCATTATCCACCTCCCAATTTCAACTGTCCTAAAGCAAGGTGAAGGAGGGCCTACAGAGGAACCAAAAACTCATTGTTTAGAATGCTAACCAATACATAGGTCCTCCTCCAGGAGAAAAGAGATAGGTGAATGATATATGTTATGATAGCAAATTTTTTTTAATATTTATTCTTTAGTTGTAGTTGACAAATACCTTTATTTTATTTATTTATTTTTATGTGGTGCTGAGCATGGAACCCAGGGCCTCGCTTGCACTAGGCAAACGCTCTATCGCTGAGCCACAACCCCAGCCTGATGACAGCAAATTTTGTAGAGATTATTTTAATTGGCCTGTATATGCCTGTGTCCAGTTGAAGTTGCCAGAAGTCTGACTACTAAACAAGTAGCAACATTCTAGCTGGGTGCAGTGACATGTGCCTATATTCCCAACTACTTGGGAAGTTGAGGCAGTAGGATCGCAAGTTCAAGGCCAGTCTGGACAACTTAGTGAGATCCTATCTCAAAATAAAAAATAAGAAGGGCTAGGAGGCTGGGGTTGTGGTTCAGTATAGAGTGTTTGTCAAGCATGTGTGAGGCACTGGGTTCAATCCTCAGAATCGCATAAAAATAAATAAATAAATAAATAAATAAAATCTATTTTTTTTAATTCTTAAAAAATAAATTAAATAGGGGCTGGGGTTGTGGCTCAACAGTAGAGCGCTCGCCTAGCATGTGTGAGGCCCTGGGTTCGATCCTTAGCACCACAGAAAAAAAATTAAAAAAAATAAAGGTATTGGGGCTGGGGTTGTGGCTCAGCAGTAGAGCACTCATCTTGCATGCACGAGACCCTGGGTTCAATCCTCAGCACCACATAAAAAAATAAATAAATGAGTGAAATAAAGATATTGTGTCTAACTACAACTAAAAAATAAATATTAAAAAATAATAATAAAAAATAAAGGTATTGTGTTCAACAACAACTAAAAAATAAATATTTTAAAAACAAATAGGGCTAGGGATGTAGCTCAGGGGTAGAGCACACCTGAGTTCAATCCCTAGTACCAAAAAAAAAAAAAAAAAGTAACACTCTAATTCCATTAACATTTTAAAAGGCTATCATACATACCTTTACTTCTAAACTAGCACCAAATGCCATTCTGAAATCTCCATTAAAATCTTTACTAAAGATTCTTTGGAATGTCTGCTTGAAGAGAGAAGTGTTGAAAGAATCTCCCATCACCATGTGGCCTCTAGGAAAAAAGAAAAAAGTGAACATTAGTAAGACTGAAAGCCATCCAGATGCTCCCTGGATGTTTACAAAGGAGAAAAAAATACCCACGTCTGTAAAGGTACTAACTCACTTAAATAAAGAACAGCAAGTTTAATTTGTATTTAGGGGGGAAAAAAAGTTTCTAAAATATTAAACTAAGAATCCTTAAGAATACTAATATATCTTGATTACTATAGCAATTACACAAACCTATAGAGATGAAAAATCTCTTAGAATTATACCTATTCACATACAAAAGAAAAAAAAAAAGTACAGGTAAATAAGGTCTGCACTACAGTTAACTGTACTGTGCCAAAGTCCATTTCCTGGTACTGACATTGTACTATGTTTATGTAAGATGCTGCCCCGGGGAAGAGCTAGATGAAGAGTATGGAGAGACCTCTCTGTACTCCCAGCACATTTATAATTTCTGTAAATCCATAATTATTTCAAACAAAAAGTTTTTTTTAAAGAGAGTATCCTTTATTCAACAATCCTAGCAGTTTAAACAGATTATTATGATATTATGATAAATATATACATAAGTATATTTATCTACTACAGACATATAGAGATATCTATGTATATATACTGACATAGATACCTTGGGTTTTTGTCCCTGATTCCCAGCCTAACTTCCTCCTCAATGCAAGTTATATAAATAGAATTTCTCTTCCCCAAGGCAAATCCCAGAAACTCTAACCACCAACTTTTCTGTCTTAGAACTGGCCATAAACAAATTCTATGACCTATCTTGTCTGATAAATCAAAAGGCCTACCTCTTACCCAGGAGAATGGAATGTGCACAGAAAGGCCAAGAAAAATACGAACAAGCTATCCTAGGTTTCCCCAGACAACTAGTATTAAATGATATTCTTTTTGCCCAATTACATTTCTACATGGTTAGCCATACTTCAATCATACTTATGTAACAGTTGTCATAACCACCTAAAAGGACAGGGTTCAGATAGTTTCCAGATAGCCAAACACATGCAGGTTCCTAGAAAGTGTGTACCAGAGAGGATGGAAGCTTCATGTCCCTTCCCTCACACCTCTCCTTATGCACCCCTTCACCTGTATCCTTTATAATACCCTTCACAAGAAACTGGTAAATGTGTTTCCTTGAGTTCTATGTGAGCTGATTGAACAAATTAATAGAACCCAAGGAGGAGTTTGTGGGAAGCCAAATTTACAGCCAGTCACTCATGTGCCTGGATAAAACAACTTGGGGCTTGTGTCTTCTAAAGTGGGTAGGGGCCAGTCTTGTGTGATATGACATTGTGTCCAAATAGGAAGAGTCAGGACTGAATTAAATTAGAGATCCCCAGCTGGTGTCCACTGCAGAACTCATTGCTTGCTTGTTGACGGGGACAAACCCACACACACTGTAGGTTCATTGCAATGCTTCGTGTTATGTGCATATAGTAGGTGAGACTTGAGTTTGACTTGGGTTTTCTCTATAACAAGAAAACATGTCCAACTTTTCTCATACTTTTTCAGTATAGGAGAATAACCAGGCCTGGGGAAAAACCTTTTCAGATAAACTCTGCTGCAACACACTGAATCCTTGACTTCACAGGAACATTTTTTCTAATTGATGAATACTGATTTTTATCCCTTACTGAAGTTAGAGAAAATATTGTTCAAATTTTCAGCAAGAAGCACAGCCTGCTTCAGCTACACAACAAGTTGTCATTTATAAAACAGGATCCCAGAATTGGAAAGAAAACAAGAAAGGTTACCTGGTCCAGCTCTCTCAATGTCTGAGCCCTTTAGTGAGGGATCAACAATTTGGCCCCAAATATCCACCCTCCCTTCTTCCTTAATCATGTATTCCACAGTTGCTTGGAATAAAGATGACATTCCCAGGGCTGGGGTTGTGGCTCAGCGGTAGATGCTTGCCTCGCATGTGTGAGGCTCTGGGTTCGATTCTCAGCACCACATAAAAATAAATAAATTAAATAAAGGTATTGTGTCCAACTAAAAAATAAACATTAAAAAATAAATAAATAAAGATGACCTTCCCTAGTGTACCTTGCATGTAGTCACATGACTCACTTTAACTTGATGGAGAATTCTTTAGTTCGAGTGGGGCATGTTCTTGCCAGAAGGGCATATCCTTCTTTGGCCTTTCCACCCTGCTATTGTAATGTAGTAGAACTCCAGCAAATACCCCAAGCCACGCACTGCACACTGAGGCAGATAGCTTGATGGGAGCCTCAGCCCTGATGATGATGAAACCAGTATACCAGACAGAAATGAACTTTTTTGGGGGTCTTCTGTCATAATCACACAATCTAATCTAACTCACACCCACCTGCCCCTTGACAACATCCCTGCCAAGTTACGACTGAACATCTCTTACTCCCTCCAGAAGCTGTCCACTCCATGTCTGGACAGTTCTCACTCTTTTTACTTTTTATTTTGAGATTGGGTCTTGCTAACTTGCCCAGGTTGACCTCAAACTTGCGATCTTTAACTTGCCGCAGCCTCCCAAGTAGCTAGGATTACACAGCAGGAACCAGCATACCTAGGAAGACCTTTTTTTAAAAAAATATTTATTTTTTAGTTGTAGTTGGACAGAATACATTTATTTTATTTTTTTTTTTTATTTTTATGTGGTGCTGAGGATCAAACCCAGGGTCTCACATGTGCTAGGCAAGCACTCTACCACTGAGCCACAACCCCAGCCCCAAGACCTTTCTTTATACTGGGTGAAATTCTATATCCCGGCAGCTTCACCCATTGTTCCTAATTCTTCTGATCTCTTCTCCACAGAACAACTCTTCAACATTGAATACAGTTCTCATGCCCATCTCTTCTTTTTTTTTTTCTTTTGGTACTGGGGATTGAACTCAGGGGCACTTGATCACTGAGCCACATCCTCAGCCCTAGTTTGTATTTTATTTAGAGACAGGGTCTTACTGAGTTGCTTAGCACCTCACTTTTGCTGAGGTTGGCTTTCAACTCGCAATCCTCCTTCCTCAGCCTCCCAAGCCACTGCAGTGACATATGCCTCTGCACGCAACTAGATCCCATCTGTCTTCAGCTTAGTCTTTTCTAGTTCCTTCAACCATTCTCCACATGGGAATGGGAGTGTAGCTCAATTTCAAGCATTCTCCAGCACTATATAAGCTTGTTTAAAAGGAAAAGCTCACAAAAGTTAAAGCTTGCAACTTAGCAAGCTCCTAAGCAAGACCATGTCTCAAAATAAATAAATAGATAGATAGATAGATAGGGCTGGGGACATGGCTCAGTGGTTATGCACCCTGGGCTCAATCCCCAGTATAAATAAATAAATAAATGCTCAGAATGAAAAATGACATAATCTGTATAAGGTGTCACCATCACCAAAGAAACCAAGATTTTGATTTTCTTCAAAAATAATCTACTCCTATAACCTAGCCTATGATAACCCATCTTTGCAGGAAGTCATCCCAAGCTGTTGGCTCACCTTGAGCACTCAACAAAAACCCTACATCTTTTTATGTCACCATTAAAACATTTATCCAACATGGAATTTGACCTAAATGTTGAATCTTGTGGGAATCAAATACCTCAATGAGACACTGATGGAAATAATGATACCTCTCCACAAAAACTATACACACACACCCTAGCATACAAACCACAGGATGTTCACAAATACATTACAGCATCTCTGAGTGCTCCAAGTCAAGGACTCCTGAAGGGCACCATTCTATCATAAAATGGGAGTGTAGCTCAGTGGTAGAGTACTTCCCTAGATATGCAAGGCCCAGGGTCCAATCCCCAGCACTGAAGGGAAAAAAAAAAAGACATTCTCTTTTTTCCAGGTGTTCACTATGAACATACCCAGTAATATTTGTACAACACTTCATCTCCAATAGTCCAGTTTGGTCAAGGGCACAAGCATAAATATCAATGCAGTGACCATTTGCAGCGGTTCGATTAGCAAGCATCTCATAGTGCTGTAAAGAGAGGAGAAAACTGTCTTTAGGAAACATTAACATTAATCCCAAGGTATGCCTTAACATACCAAATGATGTAATCAAATATAGGACTATGAAGATCATTATCTTCAAAACACAAAATAAAAAATAGTTTCCAATCTCAACAACCTTCACAAACTTACAGCTATCCACTTGAAGCTCAGAGGCTGGGGACAATAATTTAACAGCAGCCAAGATCTGGAAGATCATCTCAGCAAATAAATCTTTTTGACTGTGACAAGAAGGCCTCAATAAAGCAGCTGTCACTCTAGAGCAGTCTAAACCTGACACCAGGTTAACACAATTAACCCATACCCAAGAGAACCTACCTTGGTTGCCTTTTTCATGAACCGTGCATTATCCTTCTCAATATCATGCCAGGAACGAATAGGAATCTTTAATTCATCTCCAACCACCATGCCAGGCCCTTGTGTGGGGGGACCTCCAGTAAATAGCATGATACGGGCTCCTGTGTTTGGGAAAGTACCCTGAAACAGTAAATAACAGCATATTAGAAGGATGTAGCCCATCTCCAAGTGTGTTTTCAATTTCCCTATAGAAATATTCCAAAAGATTCTCCTGAGCTTTTTTTTTTCTTTTTTTTTGCATTGGGGATTGAACTTAGGGTCTCATGCATGCTAAGCAGTTCTCAGCTCCTCATCAGCTGTTAATACTGATGATACAGCAGAATGATATAAATGACAATGCAGAAAAACAGCACTTACTTTCTCTCACCCTAATGGCTTTATATACTTTTACTACTTTATTCTGAGCAGTTCCTATTGCTCTAATTCCCTTATTTTTTCTTGAAAACCTTTAGGAGCTCCTTCAATGTAGATAATAACAATGACTTTAGGTCACAGTGAATTTTCAAAAAAAGCCAACAAATATGATTTTTTAAAAATACTTATTTTATAGTTGGACACAATACCTTTATTTCACTTAATTATTTTTTACGTGGTGCTGAGGATTGAACCCAGGGTCCTGCACGTGCAAGACGAGTACTCTACTGCTGAGCCACAACCCCAGCCCCAAATATGATTTTTAAGAGCAAGTTTGTATGATGTGAGAGAGCCCCATAAATTCTCAATTACCTCCAATAAACCAACAGCAATGGACAAAGCAACACCAGTGGATCTCAAAGGTCTCTTCCCCTGAGTTACTGGCCATGGGTCTCTCTGCAGCTCCCCAAGAAGATCAGTGAGGTTCATATCAATCTTTTGAATGGGCTGCAGAAATCTGTAAGATTTTGAATGGACATATCAATTATAGTTTAATAAGGTAGCCTGGTCTTCCAACCTTGGTGACATGTAATTATTTAAAATAATTATTCAGAGTAGGAAAAATTTGCCATTTTTTTCTTTAAAATTGTCTCTACAAACACAAAACAATTCAAGGCAATTTTACTAAGGAATATAATTTAAAACCTAACATTCAGTGATATATATATTATATATATTACATATATACATATATATACATATACATACATATACATATATAGAGAGAGAGCATGCGCTAGCGAGAGCGTGCGCTAGCGAGATCATGCGCTAGCACGGGGGAATAAAATCAACTTAAAAGGGAACAAATCAGTTTAATTAAATTTTAAGCAGCAAAGAAATCCTAAGGGGTCTGGGGTTGTGGCTCAATGGTAGAGCGCTTGCCTAGCACATGAGAGGCCCTGAATTGGATCTTCAGCACCACATAAAAATAAATAAATAAAAGAAAGATATTGTGTCCAAATACAACTAAAAAAAATAAATATTTTTTTAAATATTTATTTTTTGGTTAGACACAATACCTTAATTTTTGTTTATTTAGTTTTATGTGGTGTTGAGGATCGAACCCAGGGTCTCGCGCATGCTAGGCAAGCACTCTACCACTGAGCCACAACCCCAGCCCTAAAAAATTAATATTAAAAAAAAAAAAGAAATTCTAAGGACATGTCTAATGGAAATTTTATCTGTATGTGGTCCACTTATGTGGACAATGTGCACAATTCTAAAGGTTCAGTTTGTGTGTCCCTTGAGCTTTAGAGTAACACAAAGAACAATCTTGTTTCTTAAGAGAAGGAAGCTGTCCCCAGCCTGGCAGACAATGCATTTTATCAAGTTTACTAGCAGTTAACACAACCTGGGTCAGCAGTGGACACTCAATTTAACTGAATAAAGTATCTGTTCATAAGCTTTTTTGAGAGCACTCAAAAGAGGTCTTTTCCATTTTTCCAGTTTTATTTAAGAATCAAAAAGGATAATAGCCATATGTCCAAAAAAGAGGGGAATGAATGAATACAGTGGTCTCAAAACCTTTTTGATAAAACATTAAATATGGATTAAGCTTATTCATTGACTTTTTTATCTAATCATAAGAAAACCGACATACTTGCATTGCTTTTCTTTTATTTTCACGTCAACGTGCATGCTCACTACAGCACATAATACTGAATGTCAGCATCTCACCTGCTTGAAACAAAAGGGTGCTCCTGAGGTTGAGCAGGTCTTGCTTGCTGCATGGGCATGGCTGGCTTAGACAAACCCAGCATATCCTAAAAAAAACAAAAGACTCATTTCCCATCACATTATGAGTAAATAACTGATTAATTTTTAAAAAATGTCCTTGCTACCATTTCTATACAAACCCAGCACAGACCTGTATTTGCTTTGCAGTTAAATCCTTGGTCCCTCGGAAGACATAACTTTTGGAGATTCCTTCACAGCTCAGTTCATGAACCTGCACCATCCTTCCGAAAGTGATCAGACCCACCAGAGCATCTGGAGGAAGGAGACTCAGGGACATCTGCAGGGATTCTTTGAGAGCTTGAAGGTCATCTTCCTCCAGGCATGTGTCAACCACATAGAGAAAGATCAGAGGAGACTGTGCGCCTCGCTTTAGGGAAAGGAAAAAGCATGATGATCAGTATACAAATACAAACAAATCAGGCATGTAAATGTCAAGTCTTCAACTACATTTATTCTCAGGAGGACACCTACACAAACCTCTACTTACCCTGATGCAGATTCTATTAAAACAAACTAAATATAAAAAATATTTGTGGCTAGGCATAGTGGCACATTCTATAGTCCCAGCAACTCAGGAGGCTAAGGCAGGAGTATCTCAAGTTTGAGGCTAGTCTCAGCAATTTAATGAAGACCTAAGTAATTTAACAAGATCCTGTCTCAAAAAAAGTAATAATAAAAAGGACTAGATGTGTAGCTCAGTGGTAAAACACCTCTGAGTTCAATTCCCAGTACCAAACAAACAAACAAACAAAAAACCCTGTTTGTATCTAACAAAATTATTCTACATTTCTGAATACCTACTATGTGTCAGACATTGGTCTAGGTCCTGGGATATATCAGTACATACATAGAAAAAACAAAGATCCCTGCCTATCTCAAGGAGCAAACTTTCTGGCAAGGGGATTAGGGGAACAGCAAACACCAGGAGTAGAAACAGAGGTCAAGTTCAAGGTCAGAGCAGCCTCAGTAAGAAAGTAACATTTGAGCAAAAGCCTGAAGAAGGGAGCAAGACAGTCACATATATACTGTCTTTCTCTTTTCTCTATCTGTATCTGTATGGCACAGCAGCCATACAGATACAGATAGAGAAAAGAGTCAGAGCAGTGGAAAAAGCCAGAGCAAAGGCCCATGGGCAGGCATGTTCCTGCATGCTTCAGGAGTCTAGAAGGCCCACGGAGCTAAACAATGACACTAGCAGAAATTAAGCTCAGAGTGGTATATCACAGGGCTTTGAAACTATCTTTTACTCTGGGTAAAAAGGGGAGCCATTTTTACCACTGGAGGTTTCTGAACAGAGAAGTAATGTGAAACGTATTTTTAAAGTTACTCTGAGGGCTGGGGTTGTGGCTCAGCAGTAGAGCGCTTGTCTAGCTCACGTGAGGTGCTGGGTTCAATCCTCACCACCATGTAAAAAATAAAAAATAAAATGAAGGGTTTGTGTCCAACTACAACTAAAATATATATATATTTTAAAAATTTAAAAAAATAAAGTTACTCTGACTTCTGGGTTTAGAATACAACACAACACTAGAGAAGAATAGTGTTACCTCAGATTAGGTAGAGGGAAGTGAAGGGAGGGGAAGGGAGGGGATGTGGGGATAAGAAAGATAGTACAATGAAACATACATTATTATTGTATGTATATATGTGACTGCATGACCAATATGATTCTACAACATGTATACACAGAAAAATGAGAAATTATATCCCATCTATGTATGATATATCAAAGTGCATAAATACATTCTACTGTCATGTATAACTAATTAAAACAAATTTAAAAAGAATACAATACAAATAGGCAATAATAAAATCAAGGAGAATAGTTAGGAGACTGATCTAACAATTTGAATGGGGTGGGGGCTGTGGCTCAGTGTTAAGAGTATTTATCTAGCATGTGTAAGGCTCTGGGTTCAATCCTCAGCATCACATAAAAATAAATAAATTAAATAAAGGCATTGTGTCCATCCACAACTAAAAAAAAATTTAAAAAATAATTCAAATGAGAAATTGTGGCTAGATTAGGATAATTAGGAGTAAGAGAGAAAAATGGGTAAATTCTAGATAAATTTTGAATATTGAGCCAATAACATGTTATAACAGATTAGATGTGGGATGTGAAAAAGAGAGGTCAAGGACAAGTCTAAGACTTTTAAACTGAACAACTACATGATGGAGCACCCTCAACAAAGACTGAGAAGGCTTTGAAGGTCGGCTTTCTAATTCAATCAGTTCCACCGTTTTTGCAGCCTTCTACCAAGACCTGAAAACAACACCAGTGTAAGTGCTTACACACTGTAACCTCATGTTTAGGATCCTTCGGCCCCAACAATTTCAGGTCCTCTGGACTGGCAAGAGACACAGAAAACAAAGGATTTCAAGAGATACTCAGTGTTCATCACATTTCATTAAATACACAACAAGGAATTTACCTGTATCACGTACTCAATTGTAGAAAACTGGGGCATCAATTCAGCAGGTTGATTCACCTCAGATATGCCTGCATAAGCTGGAGGAAACTGAAAAGAAAGCAAAGCACTGTTTTGTGAGGGCTGAAAGATATTTATGTTACACCTTTTATTTTCCATTTATAAAGATGATTAATGATTATATGTTAATTCTGAGAGCACAAAATGTAAAACATTATTAAAACACAAAAAAATCAGTAATTAAATTCTGCTTTACATTCATATCATTTCATAAGTTTAAAAAAAAGTATTTTATTCTTTAGAGTAGGTTTAAGTTATTTTAAAACATTTAATGGTTTAAAGTCACTCTATTAGAAGAAGCTAAAAGCCCTAGTGCCATGCCAGTAATCCTATCTACTTAGGAGGCTAAGGCAAAAGGATCAAAGTTCAAGGTCAGCTGGCACAATTTAGACTCAGTCTCAAACTAAAAAAGATTTTTTTAAAGGGTTAAGGATGTAGCTCAGTAGCAGAGCACCAATGGTTTAATCTAAAAACAAACAAAACCACATGCTATCACAACTGTTTCTTAAGCTTTGCCTTGCAAACTAAAGGCAAAACATTTACCTGTTTCATCTATAAAGAAGACTAACACCTTTGTTTATCATTTTGACTGTTATCTCTGGAGTAGCTGTGATTTTAGGCATGTACCACTGTGCCTGTCCCCTCTAGACCTTTCCACTTGAGCACACCATATATAACAATCACTTCATATAAACAATTTTGGGACCTGCTTTTGCATATAAAATAATAACACAGGCATTTCCTTTTGTTTTTAAAACTCTCTGCAAACATTTTAAATTCATAATTTGGGCACTGATTTTTCAGTCTTCAGCTTAATATTTAAAAGTTTAGGTATATCTCCCCAAATTTAGCAGGTGGATCTCTCCAGGCCAGTGACTTTAGAGTGACCAAATGCAAATCCTGCTGAGGAGATGACAGCAGCCTTAAAGAGTCACTGGCCAGGAGGGAAGGAATATTGGGCATCAGAACTCCAGCAGAAATCTCAGTATATGCCATCAAAAGATCTCCTGTCCCCTTTCTGGCCATGACTACCCAATGGCTGCAGCTTGCAGAAAAGGGTAGAGCTTTATCTATGTCTGCAAAATTTGGGGAGTAAACCCAGACATACTGGCTACCTTCTAGCAATCTGGAGATGTCCTATTTACCTAACAGGCAGTCAACTGCACAGAAAAAGAGGACAAGATAACCCAGTTCCTCCAGGGGGCCATCTCTATCTACTACCCCAGACTCACTGAGGGGTTCATTTCCTCATGGTTGAGCTGGGAGAATAACAAAAGATTATTTAAGCGTATGACAGTCTTCCACATCACACTTCCACACCAAACTGGCAGGTGGAGATCTCAGATAAATATACTAATACCAAATACTTATATGGCACTTAGTGTGTCAAGCACTATTTAAAGTCATTTACATTCATTAATTCTGTTTAATTCTCACAAGAATTTCATAAAGTACCATAGTATTATTATGTTAATTTTATTTTATTTATTTTTTCCTTTATTTTGTTTATTTATTTTTGTGTGGTGCTGAGGATCGGATCCAGGGCCTTGCACGTGCTAGACGAGCACTCTACCGCTGAGCCACAACCCCAACCCCTATGTTAATTTTAAAGACAAGAAAATTGAGGCATAAAAGGTCAAATGTGACCCTGCCTTAGATTTTTTATGATAAATTAAACATGCATTAATTCTGAATGTTAAGATTTGTATAAACTTCTGAATTTCTCATGGAGATTTTTTTTTTTAATTGCTAAGAATCAAATTCTACCATTGAGCTACATCCCCAGCCTTTCATGGAAATAAATCTCAAATATAATCAGCTTATAATTTCTGAATCTACTGTCAGTCGTCAACTGTACTTGTTTTTCCATCACTGGATTTACTATGCACTGTATCTAGGATTAATCATAATAAATTCATGTTATTACCAGCTTAAGAGCTATGAGCACAATGTATGCTCAATTGTGTACAATTAATTTTCCTCAACACTTCATTTAAATATAGTTTCCATGCCATAAAATTCACCAATTTTATGTGTAAAATTCAATGATTTTTAGCAAATGTATTGAATAATAATCAGCACAGCCCAGGTTTAGAACATTTTTATCATAGACAATTATTATTATTATTTTATTTTTTTAATTTTCTTAGTACAGGTATTGAATCCAGAGGCACTTAACCACTGAGCCATGTCCCCCTCTTATTTTTTATTTTCAGACCATCTTGCTAAGTTTCTTAGGGACCCACTAAGTTGCTGAGGCTGGCTTTGAACTTGCAATCTCGTGCCTCTGCCTCCCAATCTCCGGGATTACAGGCATGAGCCACTAAGACCAGAGACACAGTTGATTTTAAAGAGAAGTCTTGACTGGGGGTATCACTCAGTGATAAAGCATGTGCTTATTATGAACAAGGCCCTAGGTTTGATCCCTATCACCTACACCCCATAAAAGGTCTCTCTTCTCATTTATGAGCTTCTTTTAGTTTGCTAGTTTTAAATTTTTTAAATCAAAACTTCAATACTGATACTTGAATTCCAAGGTTAATAAAGATCAGAAAACAAAAATTCAGTAATATTCACTACCCAATTAGAATATACTGAAGTCAAGTGAAATATGAACAGCTGGGCATAGTGGTGCATGCCTGTAATTCCAGCTACTCAGAAAAAGGCCGAGCAGGAGGATCAGAAGTGTGATGTTAGCATGGGCAACTTTGTGAAACTATGCCTCAAAATAAAAAAAGGGTTGGGGGTGTAGCTCAGTGGTAGAGTACTTTGCCAGCCAGCAAGAGGCCCTGAGTTCAATCCTCAGTACCACACACACATACAAAAAGAACAACAGATCTATGTTCTTAGGGTAACAGATTCATGTCCTACAGAAAACCTACAAGGAAAGAGAATGTTATGTACTCTCCACAGCAAATGACAAGAATCCAAATATGGAAAAATTATAAATGTTCAACATTCAATATTGTGCTTAACAAAAGCTATCACCTTCAGTTCAGCAGAAACTGCTGACTGCTAGCATAGATATTCAATTTCACATAACTTTTTCAGAGTAACATACAAGAAATGAAACTTATAAAACATTTTTTAAAATAATTCATACCTGATTTCTCTGGAAACAGAAATTACAAGCCCAAAGTTTTGCTCGATAATCAACCTGACTGTGAGAAAGATAAATATCACAACCAGGTACCATTTTTATTTTTAAGGTAAAAAATATTCAAATGTAAACTTCAAATTCAATAAATCACAGACTGGTATTTCTATGTTTGTGTATAATAAATGACATTTTACAAAATTTCAATGCAGTTAGATTTCTGGCTATTAAGTACATAAAAAGTTTCCCTCAAACAACTTCAATGAAGAATTAGCAAATCCCTTTTTCTCTTTTCCAATATCCTAGATAAATTTTTAAAATTTCTTGACTTATATAAATTATGAGTTAATTCCTTTTGCCTATTACCTTAACCCAATCTTCAGGATTTTTTTCTAATATCTTTATTGTTCAGCCAAGTGAAACTACCAAATTTTGATAATAAAGGCACATTTCACACACAGGAAAAATTTCTTAGACTTTAACCTCACTTGAGTTAATATACTTCCTATCCCCTTTTATAGGTTTAAAAAATTAATAAACAGTGGCTATAATTTTGAAAGCAGAGCAGCAGCATTCTTAATATGCACATTCTAAATAAAAGCAAGGAAAATAAAGTAAAAAATGCTCCCTCATATAAAAAATTTTATGACCACTTGCCACGATTTCAAAATTCCAATCTTGCAGTCCCATCTACTTGGAAGACAGGAGGATCCCTTGGGTTCAAGATCAGGCTGAGCAACACTATAAGACTCCACTTTCAAAAAATAATAAATAAATACAATAAGAATTCTTTCAAATTGTATCCACATGTGTTAAAAATAATATAGGTCAAGATATTATAGGTCATTATCTTAGAACAAAAAAAATTACACTTAACAATAAAATCATTAAGAGTTCAAATTTCTTCTGATTATTACTTCTTCTAGTCCTACAACATCAACACACTAGGCAAGTATAAAAAAAAAATAACCTGAAGCTTTTAGATTTTATTTTTGTGAAAAATACTTTAAAAGGTATCTCATAAAGTATACAGATAAGCCAAAAACAAACTGATAAAAAGCAAAAAATTTTAAAAAAGTTAATTAGTGAATTCCAGATCCTCCCCTTTCATCCCCCTCCTCTTCCTATAAGATTCTAATTTTATCTGGAGATTAGGCCAAGGAGATTTCTATGCACACTCATCACTAAGAATCTCATCATCTACTACTCATCTCAAATTTGACAACTTGCCCAAATCAAATTTATTATATTCACCATTTTTAGCAGTTTTTAAAAAAATTCATACCAAAGTGGATTGAGAACAGCTTTGCAAGTTGGCCTGCTGCAAAGCACAGGTTCATACTGTACAGGAGGCAGGTCTGGTCGTTCTTTCAAAGGAGTAAGGAGACAAGCCAGTGGAACAACCATTCTCGTGGCCTCAAGACGGCTGGAAGGCCACACATTCCAACTGAAACGTACACCATCTCTTTCTTCATTCTGCTGAATGAACTCCAGATATGTTGCCATAGTCTAAAAGGGAACTAAAGATAAAGCTTTAGCTATATATTTGAGATTCTCAGCTAAACCTCAAAAAAGAAGACAGTCATCTAACATAGCATTTCTTAAATACTTAGCTGGATACTCCTGGATAAAGATATCTATCTTCCCAAAGTTGATTAATTCAGTTATCTTTAACTATTGCTCTTTTCTTAATCCTCCTCTCTAGCACTTAAAACAAAACAAAACAAAGTGGTGGGGAGTTTTAATCATCATCTCTAAATTAAGTGTAGCTGAATACTAAACTTTTACATTTATTTATTCATTTTTGAGGTGCTGGGGATTGAACCCAGGGCTTCACACATAATATGCAAGTACTCTTCTACTAAGCCACACCCTCCCACCCTTGCCAGCAATATTACTTTAAACTTCCTTACAGATCACACATCATCTCAGACAAGCCAATTCTGCACTTGACCAAGGGTAAGCCTTGAATCCTGTTTCAGCATCAATACTGTATTAAATTTTACATTCCTAGTAATCTTGGTTGTGTGTCTTTTCCCATCCATCTTTTGTTAACTGTACAGTAAAGAAACATATACTGATCTGGAGTTGAGCTTATAAGGGGGACAAGTTCTGAGATAAAAATATTTCTATTTGGTATTATCTAATTGCAAAGGAAAGCTTACTATTATGCTGGCTCTCATCAGGACCTTCTCCCTTACCAAGGTTGCTTTTATTCATGCCTTTTCTTTTTTTTAATGTTTTTTTTTTTTTGGGGGGGGGGTATGCTCATGTCTAAAGACTGGTCAATAAAATAGTACTTCAGACTAATCTTTTAAACCCAGACAATCCCAATTTCACTGAACTGAGTGTTTTATACATCCTGTTCATGTCCTGGAATCTAGGGTGACACACACCTAAGTTATTGTGGTTCAAGGAAACTAGCCCCTCAAGAAAAAACAAAACAAAAGAAAAACAGATCAAAGAATCTGTGATATTAAAGTGATCACTAAGGAGGACCTCATCTAGTGCTGGATAACAACCAACCCCATACTATTTTGAGAAGTGCCATACTACAAATAATTTGGATTAAGTCTCTTATATTACATGGCCAGAAAAGCAAATGAAATATTACACAGACAACCAAAATTCAAAATGTGAATTTCACTGAAACATTAAGCCAGCTACTTGTTATTTGAGCAAAAGGGAGAAGCTGAAGCATTGTTTACACAGAAGGCACTGCTGCAGCTTCCTGAAGGGGAGGGAGCAGGAAGAGCTAAATCAGGTAGTCGGGGGAGCCAGTTCTAATATCATAATTCTCACAAGTACCTCAGCAAGATTCATTAAATGACCATTCCCCTCTCAAAATTGTTATTACAAGGTATTAATCCCCAAGTATGCACATAATAAAACTTTCTCCATCTGTTTACCACTGCCCCTCCCCCTCACTCTTCTAGATCACTGATTCTTAACCTCGGGCAAATAATTCACAGAGGATTTTAGAGAATCCACAGACTTTCTTAAGTCATATGCAAGACTGTGTGAACGAGAGAATGCATCCTTCCAAGGAAATTAGATTCACGTTCTATACCAAATTCTCAAAGAATAAGGGTATGAAGAGGTCAAATAGCTGAATGAATGAATGAATGAATGAATACTGAACGAACGGATGAAAAGCCTAGGAAGATACTCTAGAAGCATCCACCCCCAAATCTGAACGACCCTCATCTCGCCCAGGCGTAACTTTTCAGGGCATTGTGGCCATCTGCAGACAAGATAAAGTTTAAGTCTTGACAGGTGTCTGAAGACCTAAGTTCTAGTTTTACCTCTCTCACAAACCAAAACGTTCGAATTGCTAAGTTATAAAATGGGAGCAGGATCCTTCCGGCTGTGCGCAGCCAGCAATTCTAAAGACTTAAGAATCAGAAGCCGGTGATCTGCCGGCCCGGCATGGCGGGGGATCCGTCACTTTCAGTAGACTCTTGGGTCATCCATTCGCTCCGTTTCCCCTGCCTACCAGAAAAGGCTTCATCCCAGAAGCAGCCCACCTCTCCCTGGCATGTGTGCCTCTGTCCGCGGCTCTTTACCACTTATGCATCCCACTCACCTGGCCGGAGCCGAACGCTTGGCGAGTGCTGTCCGCGCCCACAGCTGGAAAAGCTAGGCTCCGGCTCTCACCGCCAAGTCCAGCTCAGCTCTCAACCGATTGGTCAACACTCTGACACGTCATACCACAGCGACGTGCGCTAGCCAATCGCAGAGCGTTTATCCAGCCGACTAGAGGAAGCGATGTTGTCAGAAAAAATTCTCCGCCATCTAGCGATATGGCAAAACAGCGCTGACTCGCACTTCAAACCATAGATGCCACTTCCCTAAGATTGCCACTAAAGGTTTCTGCTTCAGAAACCCCAGGCATTGCCGGAACATTCCCTAGACACAGCCAGCCTTCCCAGGGGGGCCGCCCTGACGCAATATGACGTATGCTTGCCTCACTGGAAAATCCGCCTCATTGCCTTAGTTACCGGAATGCGAAAACCGTGACGTGAGGCTCCGGAAGTAGGAGACGGGCAACTGGAGGAACCTGGAACTGTCGGGAAGAAGGCGTCAACATACGGGAGAGACGGGGCTGGAGAGAACTTGGAGCGGCCAGCTGGAGGACGCTTGCGTACCTGTTTGTCCAGGGAGCTAGTCTTTAGTTAAGATTGATTTTAAGTACAACAGGTGTAGTAGTGCTTTTTCATCTTTCACGATTTCCTCTTTTCCCTTGGAATGGCTTCACTCTCTTAGTGGAGACCAGCTCTAGCGCACAGTCCCTCTTTGCACCTCCATTCCTATGCCGAATTGAGAACTGTCATATTCAAGTACTTTAGGAGACTGACAAAGTTCATGTTTACATGGGACACAGCTTTCTTTTTTTAATTTATTTATTTATTAGTTGTAGTTAGACACAATATCTCTATTTTATTTTATTTTATTTATTTATTTATTTATATGTGGTGCTGAGGATTGAACACAGGGCCTCACACGTGCTAGGCGAGCGCTCTACCACTGAGCCACAACCCCAGCCCTGGACACAGCTTTCTATAGCCACAACCATTTTTTCACTTTCTTACAAGGTGGCTCGTTGATTAACTTACTAAGACAAAATCTTCCTGTAGCATATTTTAAAACCCTAAAAAATAAAAGTATATATCTAGGCATTCAAGAAGTATGCATTAATTAGCTCAATATTAGAGCAATATTTTAAATTACCTACAGATCAGAAAAATTAGTTTAAGTCAATGTACTATGAAATATAATGTCCGTAATATAAACCGTTTGTCAGAATAATAATTCATTTTGTTGAACAAACTTTCATTTATCATGATCTTAAACATTATGCAATGTTAATGTTAGCTTATCTGATTAGTAAACTTATATCCGTTTAGGAAATTGAAAATAGTTATTCTCTTTGTAAGGAAACAAGCCCAAGTAAGAACATGTGCACATGTATTATACTTAACACTTAGAAAGAATATAACTGGTTTGGTTTGGTTTTGAGGTCCTGAAGATTGAACCCAGGGCTTCACACATGCTAGACAGCCAATGTACTACATCCCCAGGCCTTTTTTAATTTTTCTTTCTTTTTTTTTTTTTTTTTTGGTGCTGGGAATTGAACCCAGAGGTACTCAACCATTGAGCCACATCCCCGGTCCTTATTTGTATTTTATTTAGGGACAGGGTCTCACTGAGTTGCTTAAGGCCTGCTAACTGCAGAGGCTGGATTTGAACTCACCATCCTCCTGCCTCAGGCTTCCCGGAAGCTGGGATTACAGACCTGTGCTGCCACACTGTTCTTATAGCTTATTTTTAAAAAACCAAAAATTAAAATACTATTATTTGTCAAAGATTTCCCTTAATTATTTGAACCTGGATTCTTTCTGTACTAGCAATTTCTTTTCTTTGTTTTCTTTTTTTGTACAGGAGATTGATTGAATCCAGGGATGTTTTATCACTTAGCTACATCCCCAGCCCTAAATTGCTGAGGCTGGCAATCCTCGTGCCTCAGCCTCCAAAATCACTAGGATTACATGTGTACACCACCACATCAGGCTTGTACTAGCAATTTCACAAGAAGGGGTTTTTGTTTTTTGGTTTTTTTGTTTTTGTTTTTGTTTTTTTTTTTTGTAATAGACATACAAAGCATTAGAAGTTTTATTTCTTTGCTGGAAATGTTAGGAATATTTGATTTATATATATGTATTTATTTCCATAAACTAATCCTAACAGGTCCCTTAATTGGAGAGATCTAACAGTCTAACTTATTAAGACTCTACAACACAAAATTTGAACTCTCTAACAAAAGGTGAAGGCTTTTATTGATCATAGCCATGAAAACACATAAACACAGAGAACATAAAACTTTGGTTCTACAACTTTGGCCACAAGTGAAAAATATACAGAAACATAAAAATTTAGTGGACCAGATAACAAAGAGCTGTTCTTCCCAGTTGGCAAGGAAATCTCACAAACTGATAAAAAGACAAAAAAAAAAAAAAGCCACTAACAATCCAATTCTCTGTCATCTCTTATCCAAGAGAGAGATGATCAATATAAACTATCAATTCACTTACAGAGATTAGCAACTGGACAGAATATAAAAACCAAATTCCTAATCATTATTGCTAACAACAGGGGAAAACTTACCATTCATGCATGAATCAAAAAGAAAAACAGAAAACCAGTAGAGAGAAGACAAGAAAGCTATAGAAACAGATCAGCAACATAGTGTTGTACTATTGTAGTATTACTGCCACTGGGTATTCACTCTAGGAGGCAAGAAAAATGCCTGCCTGGGCCTAAGCAGCCTAGGAGGTGTTTTCAGTAATATAATTGCCTGGTTCAGACTGGTGAATCATATTGGTGAAACTTCCAAATTGTTAAAGAAACTGTTTCGAGCCAAGTGAGGTGGTGCACACGTGTAATCCTATTGGCCCTGGAGACTGAGGCAGAAGAATTACAAGTTCAAGTCCTGCATCCAAAACTTAGATCCTGTCTCAAAGTTTAAATAAATAAAAAGAACTGGGGATATAGCTCAGTGGGAAAATATCCTGGGTTCAATTCCCAAGACTGCCAAAAAAAAAATCATAAAAATGTTAACTTTTAGTTTTAAAACCAAAGTTATTTCTCCTGCATTAATAAGAAACTCAAGAAAACACTTGTACAAGAGATAAAAGTAGAAAAGAAAACAAAGTGAATTATATGTAATTACATAATCCCTTCAATCATTATTGGCATAAACAATCTGAGAAAGGTGAGAGTTAATACCATTGCTTTTTTTCTCTCCTAAAAGGAAAAGCTAACTGAATCTTAAGGAAGACCTTTTTACAGCCTATAGTTCCTGTGCCATTGTTTACTGAACAACAACAACAAAAAAAAAAAAAAAAAAAAAACACTAAGCAAACACTTGGGCATAGGAATGCCACTGCTTATTTTGTTTTTTAAAACTTTAAACACCTATATTGATGCATAATTGATATACAATAAGCTACTGTGGGGAGGGGTGTGGGGGGAGTACTGATATTGAACCCAAGGACACTTATCACTGAACTACATCCCCAGCCCTTCCTATTTTCTGTTTTGAGACAGTGACTATGTTGCTGGCCTTGCACATGAAATCCTCTTGCCCTAGCCTCCCAAGTCACTGAGATTACTGGTGTTCGCCACCCTGCCCAGCCTGGGACGTTACATATTTAAAATGTGTAGTTTGGGGGCTGGGGCTGTGGCTCAGCGGTAATGCATTTGCCGGGCATGTGTGAGGCACTAGGTTTGATTCTTAGCACCGCATATAAATAAATAAAAATAAAGATCTATCAACAACTAAAAAAATATTTTTAAAAATGTGCAGTTGGGTAAGTTTGACACCTATCTACACAATTGAGATAATGAATATAGATATCATCCCCCAAAGTTCACTCATGTCAATTATTTTCACAATTTTAATTAAAGGACTTAAATGATATGTGCTTTTTTTTTGGGGGGGGGGCGGGTCTGGCATTTCATTCAGCATGATTATTTTGAGATTCATCTGTGGTATTGTGTGTAGCAGTATAAGTTTACAGTTAGTTCAATAACATTGATCTGTGATGTTATGATATGTATTTTTATCCATTTTTCCTGGATAAGTTTCACAGCCCTTGTTATTTCTTAAATGACTAGAACAATAAGATTAAAGTGTTTGGCCATTTGTTATTGGTTCGCGCACCTGCTTCAGAACAAGCTTTAGAGCCAATAAAGTGAAAGATAATCTTTTATTATCATATTGGGGAAATTTAGGCCTCAGAAATCCCCACACATTTTGGTATCACAGAAATGATCTGTGCTGTTGAATGTGAAGGAGAAACTGGGTTTGCTTTTACTCTATTCTCTTCTGAGACTTTTAGAAGAAAAATTCAGTGTTGAAGTTCAAGAGGAAAGGATATGTTTTGCTCTTACTGAAGAACTTGGTGGTAAAGCAGTGTTACCATTTGTCTTCCACTGTACCTATTCAAAATACATGAACAGAGTTTTTCTTAACAATAGGTGCAAAAACATGCCTGACATTCACATTGAGTAAGTCCATAAAGGGACAAAGAAAAAGAGTCAATTTCCTATTCATTCTCATTAATAATAGCACAGGCAAACTTCTGTTGACCTCTATGCAATAAGGTTTGGATATGCCTATAAGTTACAACCACTTCCTAAGATTTCAGGATTCTATTATAACAGGCAGGATGTTTCATTAGTACCTGTTTCTCCAAAATCACAATTGGTTTACATATATTATCCATATACCCTATGAAAATAATAACTTTTTTCTTTTTTGGAACTAGGAATTGAGCCCAGGGGTTTTATATCATTGAGCTACATCCCCAACCCTTTTTATTTTATTTTGAGACAAGGTCTCACTAAATTTTCCATATTGGCCATGAACTTAATGATCCTTCTTCCTCAGCCTTCCCAGTAACTGAGATTACAGGTGAGTCCTACCATGCCCAATTGATGACACCTTTTAAAAGGCCAGCATTTACAACAATGAAAATCACAAATAGGGCTAATATTGACATTCTACTAAGTACTTATTTGAAACCGAAAGAAAATATAATGTAGATTTCAGGAGTTCCCAAGTTATAGATAGTTTGCATTCTCCATATTTGAAACTAAAAACACCCTTTCTTATAGATACATCTATCATAAGTCTAATAGCAAAGTAACAAATTCTAGGCATGTCACAGCCTGTTCTAAATAAGGGAGGGGTGGACAAGAGCACTAGTAAAAGGCAAGTAGAAAATTATTTGCATTTGATGGAAACTGGCAAGGTTTTACAAATAAAAGAAAATTTGATGGGAATTGGCACAGGCTGCCAGCCAGGAAAGCCAGAGTTATAGAGCTGCCCCATTGGCTCTCGGGAACTACAATTCCCAGAATGCCTTAGTGCAGGGTCCTGGCCGGATGCAGTCTTGGCTCTGAGGACAGCACAACCAGCTTGCTACTGGTAGTCTCTGGCCTCTCTGCACTCATGGCTTCTCCTAACAAGGCAGTGATTGTTCCTGGGAATGGAGATGGGGATGTGGCCACCCACGGCTGGTATGGCTGGGTGAAAAGGGGGCTGGAGCAGGTAAGATACATATATATGCCTCTCTGCTCTGGAAAGTCAGCCTGGAGCAGAGAGGAGGGAGTGAGGAGACACAGGACTGAAGTTTAAATATATATCCACCCCACCTCCAGGAAAGCCCTGAGTGTTTTATTCCTCCCCTTTGCTGCCCTCTCTCAAACTCTAGAACTAGTGGTCAAGATTTTGGTTGGCAAAGACTTTTCTTAGAGCTCAGTTTTTAGAGTAAAAGGAAGCATTTAAAATTAAAGAAACCAAACCCCCATCCCTCCCCATCTGTTGATAGTTCAAATTTGAGACTTCCCAAGTAATTTTACATCTCTTTATTGCGTCCTGCTTCCAGTTAAAAAAAAATCAATATATAATAAGGACATATGTGTGTAAATTATGAAGCTTAATATAATGTATCACCAAACTATCTTCTAAATGATTTATATGCCTGTCGTTCCATCCCTCTGCCATCCTGAAGTTCATTTTTCTTAAAAAAAATATTTTATTTAATATTTTAATATTTATTTAATATTTAATATTCATTTTATATTTTAATATTTAATTTTTAGTTGGACAGAGTATCTTTATTTATCCATTTTTATGTGGTGCTGAGGATCGAACCTGGGGCCCCGCACGTGCTAGACGAGCGCTCTACCACTGTGCCACAACCCCAGCCCTCATTTGCTTTTCTTTTTGAAAATTATTATTATTTTTTTTAAATAGACTTTTCAATTTTTTTTAAGAGAGAGAGAGAGAGAACTTTTTAGTATTTATTTTTTAGGTTTCAGCGGACACAGCATCTTAGTTTGTATGTGGTGCGAGCGCGCTACCGCTTGAGCCACATCCCCAGCCCTTGAAAATTATTTTTAAAACTCATGTATTCTTTAAAAACCATATTGTTTGGCTTCTTTGTGAAAACGGTATTCTACTGTGCAAAATGTCTTGCACATTTTGACTGTTTTTAAATCCTCTTCCATAATCCAGCAGTAAGATTGTTTCCTGAGTTGACCTCTAGAATAGAATTTCAGAGAAATTCAATAGAGTAAATAAATTCAGAAGAATAGAAGGTCTCTGGAATAGAATTTCTGGGTTGTGGCAGAAAGCCACAGGCAGAGCTACAAACCAGGGCTGGAGGGTCAGGGCTGGAGCTGTTCAAGAGGATGTGATATCCAACTTTCTGTATCATATTTCCGTACCATGTTTTACCTTCAACCTGGGGCACAATTTGTTTGGCTCCAGCTCAATCTGTGTAGAACACATTCATTTAAGCCTTCTCTATAGATATAGACCTTAGAGATAAATACAGATGTGCAAATGCAGATATAGGTCTATTTCTGTAGAGATCTACAGAGCTGGTTAGATGGAGTTTATGAAGAAGGATGTGTATTCATATGTAATTCTGTAGCATTATTTAACCACTTTATTCCATAATATAAGCAAACACTTATTGAATTGATGAAGATCATATCACGTGTCTTTTTTTTGTTATTTGAAAATATTAGTTGCAATTAAGATTTTAATTATAGCTTTTTTTTTACCCCCCTCATATCATAGATACCTGGTTTCCAGTGTCTGGCTAAAAACATGCCTGACCCAAGTAAGTTTTAAACTTCTTTTTAAATAGCATTATCTTGTTGGTTTTAGATCTTACCATTTTGCGGGGAAGAGAACAGGTATATCATAGTAGAGAAACCAAAGGGGTGTGTGTGTGTGTGTTTTGAATAAAGCAAGTAGCTTGGGGAGAAGGGTGTAAACCAAAAACCATGGAAATTTCTAGTAAGGATCAAGAAAATAACCTGGGCATGGTAAAATTTTAATTTTGAATTTTGTAACTTAATTTTCTCTTCTATAAGTCTACATTCAGGCAAAATTTGTGGGTATTCCATATGAGACAGAAACATGATAAAATTTTACAGCCTCTATTTGAGACCCTAATATTAAAAAATAAGTAATATTGTCCCTTTTGTTCTGAGTATATCTATGACTTGTTTCAGGAAAAAAAGAATATGTATGTATGTGAATCTTTAAGAATATTTTTATTAAGCTTGAAAGTTTAAAGTTTCAGTTATATTTTATTATTTCTTCAGTGTTCTTTAAACATAACATGGTAAAAACAAAAGCAAAACTATTTAACAAAACAATGGATTTGAGCATTTTAGTTCACATCACACACATCATGGGCTCAGTTAAAATAGCCCATTTTCTATTGAGATCATGTAGTTTAAAAGCTGTGAACTGCTAAATGGTTGTATGTTAGAAAGATGGGGTGACATTAGATTGAGACTGTCCCTATCCAATCACAGACTCTTTCTTTACCTTGAATCTTAGTTACAGCTCGAGAGAGTATCTGGCTGCCTTTCATGGAGACAGAGCTACACTGTGATGAGAGGACCATCATCATAGGCCACAGTTCTGGGGCCATTGCAGCCATGAGGTGAGATCTTTGTTGAACTGCCAGCCCCGTCATGAGTTCCAGCCATACTTCCTTGGGAAATACCTGTATATACCTTAGGTTTCCATTACAGAGGAAATAGTGCTGACCTCAAAAGTAGTAACATAACCTATCTTTATTCCTTCTTAGTTTTGTTAATGGCTTGAAAAAAAATACTTATGGGGATGCAGTGAGACTTAAAATCTGACTGGCTCCAAACCCCAGCAGCTTCCTGTCACTTACCTCTGATGTCTTTGCCACCCTTTCTCCTCTCAACCAGGTATACTGACCTCATTGCAGCTCCTGGAACATGCCAAGTACATACCTTCTTTATCTTGCTCTTGGTTTTCTTTTGCTTTTTTTTTTCAATTAGAGATTTATGGTTATACATAAGCAGTTGGTTTCATCCAAATTCATACATGCACAGAAATTTATTAGTTCATGATCTCCCCTTTTCCCTCCTGCCCTTCCCCTCCCCTTCTTCTTCCTCTACTAGACTTCCTTTTCCTCCTCTATTATTTTGTGTTGGATTGGTTCTTTATATAAATCTTATCCTTCCCTCCCCTTTCCTTTATTTTACTCTAGCTTTTGAATATAAGAGAAAACATTCAACCATTGAGTTTCTGAATATGACTAATTTCACTTTGCATGATATTCTCTATTTCTATCCATTTACTGGCAAATGCCATAATTTCATTCTTTTTATGGCTAAGTAGAACTCCATTGTATAGAAATACCACAATTTCTTGATCCATTCATCTATTGATGGGCATCTGGGTTGCTTCCATAATTTAGCTATTGTAAATTCTGCTGGTATAAAACACTGATGTGGCTATGTTTCTGAAGTATGCTGATTTTACATCTGGAAAATACCCAGGAGTCAGATAGTGAGGTCATATGGTGATTCCATCCCTAGTTTTTTGATGAATCTCCAAACTGCTTTCCAGAGTGGTTGTACTAGTCTGCAGTCCCACCCATGATGTATAAGTATCCTTTCTCCCCACAATTACACCAGCATTTATTGTTCTTTGTTTTTTTGTTTTTTGCTTTTTGTTTTTGGTACCAGGGTTTAACTCAGGGGCACTTGACCACTGAGCCACATCCCCAGCCCTATTTTGTATTTTTATTTTGAGACATGGTCTCACTGAGTTGCTTAGGGCCTTGCTAAGTTGAGGCTGGCTATGAATATGAGATCCTCCTGTCTCAGCCTCCTGAGCTGCTGTGATTATAGGTGTGTGCCATTGTGCCGGGCTTGTTGTTCGTATTCTTTATCATTGCTATTCTGACTGGAGTAAGATGAAATCTTAGCGTAGTTTTGGTTGGCATTTCCCTGATTGCTAGAGATGTTGAACAGTTTTTCATGTATTTATTGGCCTATTGTGTTTCTTCTATTGAGAAGTTCCTGTTTAATTCTTTTGCCCATTTATTGATTGGGTATATATGTATGTATGTATGTATGTATGTATTTTGGGTATTAAGTTTTTTGAATTCTTTGTATATTCTGGATATTAATCCCCTATTGGAGGAGTCGCTGGCCAAGATTTTTCTCCCATTCTGTTGGCTCTCTCTTCGAGCTCTTGTTTCCTTAGCTGTGTAGAAGCTTTTTAGTTTGATGGCATCTCACTTACTGATTGTCAGTTTTCTTTCTTATGCTTTGGGGGTCTTGTTAAGGAAGTCTGTGCCAGCACCTATATAATGGAGTGCTGACCCTATGTTTTCTTCTAGAAGTTATAAGGTTTCTGGTCTAATTCTTAAGTCTTTGATCCATTTTGATTAGAGTTTTGTGCAGGGTAAAAGATAGGGATCTAATTTCATTTTTCTACATACACCTATCCAGTTTTTGCAGCACCATTTGTTAAAAAGGCTGTCTTTTCTCCAAGATATATTTTTGGCATCCTTGTCAAATATCAGACAACTATGGGTTTATGGGCTTTTCTCTATGTCTTCTATTCTATTCCATTGGTCTTTATGTCTATTTTGGTGCTAATACCTCACTATTTTTGTTACTACAGCTCTGTCGTATAATTTCAGATCCGGTATTGAGGTGCCTGCCTCTTGCTTCGCTTTTCTTGCTTAGTATTGCTTTGGATATTTTGGCTCTCTTATTCTTCCAAATGAATTTTAGAATTGTTTTTTCTAATTCTGTGAAGAATATTATTGGTATTTTGATTGGGATTGCTTTGAATCTGTATTTTGCTTTTGGTGGTATGGCCATTTTGACAATATTAATTCTGCCTATCCAAGAACATGGGTTGTCTTTTCATCTTCTAAGGTTTTCTACAGTTCCTTTCTTCAGTGTTCTATAATTTTCATTGTAGAGCTTTTTTACCTCCTTCATAATATTAATGCCAAGGTTTTTTTTGTTTGTTTGTTTTTTAGATTATGGTTTTCCTGATTGATTTCTTCCTCAATCAAATCACTTTTGGAGTATAGGAAAGCTATTGATTTATGGGTGTTGATCTTGTGTCCTGCTACTTTGCTAAATTCATTTATAAGCTCTAGAAGTCTTCTGGTGGAGTTTTGTTGTTGTTTTTCTATTTTTTAATCTTTTATGTCATCAGCAAACACTTGCTCTTGTTTTTCTTCTTGGGACACTGCTCCTAGTTATCTGTATGGCTTTCTCTTCCTCTTTCAGTCTGCTTGAACGTCTGCTTATGGTAATGTCTTTTCAATCACTGTGTATGAAACAGCATCCTCACCTTCTGGCTCCTGTCCTCCTATAGCCTATTATCTGTAGCCTTTTCATCATCTGACATCTGTTTATTTCTTGCCAACAGAATGTAAGCCCTTGTAACTCTGACATTGATACCTCACTGCTTAGAGGAGAACCTTGTATATGGTAGATGCTTAATAAGTATTTCTTAGAGGGTTGGGGCTGTTACCCCCTACCTACCTGCAACCTCCCAGTCCTTAGAATTTGTGGGTATATCACTGGTGCTGTCCACTAGAACATCACATTTCTCCCTTCACCTTAGGGGCAGAGACTTAGCTGACTGAGTAGCCTATCAGGCAGTTTCTTAAACTGGATGACAGAGGACAATAGTTTTTATTTGTATAGCCACTTGCCCCAAGCAATCACTCAGGATATCACATGAACCACATTAGGAAATCTTGCCAAATTTCATAACTGATTAGCCATAATGATCAAAACTGCAGGAATAATAATGCTTTTTAGTGAAATGAAATAGTGGTACAAATATAGTATAAGATGTTAACAAGCTGCCAGGGGGTGCCTAGAAAGTGAAGAGATTCCTTTGTTGCTGAAATCTGTCCAAATTCAAGGTCAACTGAATTTTTCTTAAGCCACAGGCTATAAAGATGTGCCTTCTTCTAATGACCTCTGAATTTATTGAAGGATTGTCAACAACCTCATAAGAATTATATTCTGAAATTAAGGGAGGCGAGGGGAAAAATGGATGCCCAAACTGTCAGCATAAGGTTATAGGAGAAAGGAAACTGACACAATTTATAGAGAACCACCCTATATTACTTATTCATCACAAAGGGGAAATTGTGCTTTTATAATAATGGAGACGGCTGGTGGATGTCACCTTAAACAAGTGATTAGACTTAACCTCACCAATAATGAGACAGACTGACATCATGTGTCCCTGGTAGGTTGAAGTTGGAAGGACACATGACCAAGAATATTGAATCTCAGTCTAGTTATGGGAAAACAAAATCAGATTAGGGAATAGTGTACAGCTGGTCTAAAATCTTACTGAACAATGTCATTTAAAACGAAAGATTTAAAAGTGACTTAGGAGTCATGAAAATAAAATGCAATGCAAGATCCTTGATTATCTAGGAATGTAAAATAGTTTTAAAGGATATTTTTAGTACAGTTAGGAGAAAATGAATATAGATAATTACTGTATCAATGTTAATTGGGTATAATAGTGGTACTGCAGCTATATAAGATCTTGTTCTTGAGAAATACATTGTAAAGTAAGGGTGAAATGTAAAAAATGCAATGAATTTAGCTTTTTCTTGTTCTTTCAGCTTTTCTATGGGTTTTATATTTTTAAAAATAAACAGTTGGGAGGAAAAGTTTATACCAAGGAACAAAATACCAACCTTAAAAGTTTTGTGCCACAGAAACATCTTCAAACAATTCCTATTCCACCTCTTTCCTTAACCAAGTCTTTGCTGAGTAATGGTACAATCTAAAGATAGTTAACTGGGTATCTACTTGCTGGGCACTATACTAGGTACCAGAGACAGATCAACAATGTTCAAGCTTCCTTTTAAGGAGCTGGCAGTTTAATGGGGAACAAAGATGTAATACATAACAAATGAATAATATAATGCAATGTGGAAAGTGTGATAATAGAGGTACATTTCTCATATAGGCTGTGTTTCTTAAGATATGGTTCATATATCACTTGCATTAGAGTCATCTGGGTTGGGGGAGATATCATCCCTTAAAGTACAGATTCCTGGGCATTTATCCCCAACTCCCTGAATCAGATCATCTGGGGATTAGCGGGGAATATGCAGATCTGGGGAAAAAAAACAATACCAATGCATATTAAAGGTGGATGAATGCACACATCAGAGCTTTGAACTTTCTTGAGAAATGAGGAGGAGGTCATCAAGCAGCCAGGGTTGGGCTTGTCCTACAATTTCCTTGCTATTTTTCATAACAACTGCAATAGCATGCTTCCTGTAATCAAATGAGTTAGGTGGCTTGTTGACTTTGGTTGTTGTTGTTGTTCTAAAATTAATTAATTGTGCATGATAGCAGAATGCATTTCAATTCATAATACACAAATGGAGTGCAACATTTCAATTCTCTGGTTGTACATGGTGTAGAGACATACTATTTGTGCAATCATACATGTATGGCTTATTGATTTTTTGTTAATCAGATTTTATATATTAGCTGACATAATTTTTCTCTTTCCAGATATGCAGAAACACATCGAGTATATGCTATTATATTAGTGTCTGCATACACATCAGATTTGGGGGATGAAAATGAGCGTGCAAGTGGTAAGTCTGAAGGCAGAAATCCCAAAAGTCCTTCTAGACAGGGTTACTTGTTCAGACTATAAAATAGTACTCTTTCAGATAGGCTAAATTTAAAAAACAAGAAAAAACATTTAAATTGAGTAAATGAAACGGAGGGATGGAGGAAGGAAATCTAATAGCATATGAGAAAGATTTATCACCTATCTTTTGATGTAAGGCAGTTTGAAAGGTAATAGACCTCTTTACAACCAAAACTCTGAGAGGGCTGATTTTATTTGAGTCATTTACTCCCTCTTTACAAATAGCTATGATCTGAAAGCCTTGCAGGTCTAGGAAAAAAAAGAAAAAGTGCTTCTCATTCATCCATGGTTCCTGATCCTTTGTGTCTCTGTAAGGGTCTCCACTGGATATTCCAGAATGTCTGAAATGGAGATTATTCATGGGCATTGACAGGTTATTTTTCCCCCCATAGGATACTTCAACCGTCCCTGGCAGTGGGAGAAGATCAAGGCCAACTGCCCTCACATTGTGCAGTTTGGCTCCACTGATGATCCTTTCCTTCCCTGGAAGGAACAACAAGAAGTGGCAGATAAGTTGGAAGCCAAATTGTACAAATTCACTGATCGCGGCCACTTTCAGAACACAGAATTTCATGAACTGATCAATGTGGTAAAGTCTGTGCTGAAAGTACCAGCATAATCTGGTGCTTGCTGTTTTGTATTCCCATATAGGAGCAGAGTAATAACTTCCATTATCAGACAATAACTAGATATAAAACATCCAGTTTAGTTCCAAAAGTGCCTGAAAAACAAACACAAGTTTCAACATCACACTGAGTTACAGACAACATTTCCATTTTCTGTAGTATCTAAATCTTCCCAAATTGCTATGAACTGCAGGTTTTTTTTTTCTTTTTCCCCCCTATTTGGTTGGGGACCTACAGGTAGTTCCATCCTTATTGATCCAAAGACCCAAAGTCAGAAATGGAAACCAGGTGTCCTGATTCTCAGTCCAGATTAAAACTAAATAGATTTTCATATATGTTATAAAATAGTATTCTTTTCCTCTTTGAAATAAAACTTTTCTGTTTTATTGGGGAGAGAAAATATGACTAAAGGTCCAGAGTGTTGGCTTAGAGCTCAACACACTAACTTGTATTTCAGTCAGCTCTGAATATTGTAAAGAGGGAGTAAATGACTCAAATAAAACTTGGGCCTTTACCACTGCCATTACCCACTGCCCCTTGGTCCTTCAGACAGGTTGAGAGACCAACACATAAGGATGCCGGGTCAAAGATCTCCCTGAGTCTTGCAGGGAGCAGGATCACAGGCTATCTGTATATCAGCAAAGGTGACGAATTTTTGTAAGACAAGACTGGTAAGATCAGGGTCATGTGGAGAGCTCATGTCCTTTCTGAATTGTTGCCTTGAGGAAATTGACAAGGTGTTGCCAATTTTAATCTTTTTTTGTTGTTGTTTGTTACTGGGAATTGAACCCAGGGGTGCTTTGCCACTGAGCAACACCCTTCCTTTTTTATTTTTTGAGATAGGGTTTGCCAAGTTGCCCAGGCTAGCCTCAAACTTGTGATCCTCCTACCTCAGCTCCTGAATTGCTGGGATTACTGGCATGTACCACTGTGCTCAGCCGACTGACATTTTGAGGAAAAAAAATCTTAGTTTTTTAAAATTTAGGGAATGTATATATACGTGTATGTAATATATATGCATCATTTTCCATATGGATTATGTTAGTTGGCAACAACACTGTAAACCAAAAAATTTTAAAATATTACAAGATAAAATCCAAGTCATCCATTAGCCAAGTGACACAGATGATTCTCTACAAAGCACAAGAAAAACATAAGTAAAAAACACAACAACAAACATAATCTTAAAGGATGAAGAACATGGGAACAATATGGATTTTGTTACAAAGTCTTATTCCAAGTATGGTTATGTAGAGTTCAACCTTTTGACTTCCTAAAGATCTCTTTCAAGCATCATTCCAAGATTTTTCTTCTGATCCTACTCCCTCAGAACAAACAGGGGGCTGGATTGTAGCTTAGTGGTAGAGTGCTTGCCTAGCTCGTGGAAGGCACTGGGTTCTATCCTCAGCATCACATAAAAATAAATGAAACAAAGGTATTGTGTACATCTTCAACTAAAAAAAAAATAAAAAATGAAAAACAAACAACAACAAAAACCCACAACCACAAAGAAACCCTTTTTTCATTTCTCAACATTTTCTGGCTATTATAATGCCTAAGTATTGCCTAACACAATTTCTGTGAATTTACACTCTATGTTAGAAAGCTTGAATTTGATGCAGAAATATGATTTCCCACATTGTTTATCCCTGAAGGGATTCAAGAACCATTATTTTAACCTGAAAAGGTTTTAGTTTCTACATGTACTTAGACATAGAAAAAAGTCAGAGAAGACATTCTAAACTTTTGACAACAATTATCTTTCGGAGAAGGGAATTTGGTAGGTAGTGTAGTAGATGTCCTCATTTTCCTTTATTCACCAGGTGGCTATTTGAATTTGTAACACTGAACATGTATTACTTTAATCATTAAAATAAATAAGATTTAAAATAACTTATTTGTCAAGCTAGTAAAAAGATGATTAGATTCAGCAGTTGAATAGATCAAACCTATAATCAAAGATTGATTCTATTTGAATTATTTGGAAATAGTATTTTATTACTGTCTTGTTTTCTAAAGTCCTTTCTTTCTTTAAACACTTATTTTTATAACATCAGTTTACAATGTTTTCCTCTTCCTCCATGGGGGAAAACCCCCAAATGTATACAGTTGGGGAATATTCTTTATTCCTATAAGAGCAATTAAGTTAGACATATGACTATTGAGCTCTGCTGCCCAGTATGAGCAGTAACAACAGTAGTTGAAATATGAAAAATTCAGTTCTTCAGTCACACAAGCCAAATTTCAAGTGTTCACCAGCCACAAGTGGCTAGTGATTGTTATGGGATAGCAACTATAGAATATTTCCATCATAGAAAACTAATGGTCAGCACTAGTCTAGGGCTTTCTTCACCCACCTCTAATAGTTCAAAATAAAAGTGACTTCATTGAAATTATTTTTGTGTGATGTGGTGCTAGGAATCAAACTTGGGGCCTCAAACATGCTAGGGAAGTGCTTTCCCACTGAGCTACATTCTAAGTCCCAAAATTACTTGTTTTGATTACTTTCCTTAGTTGATTACCATCAAGTAATAACTTTAAATTTTGTTCATTGCCAAACTGAATCCAAGTTTCATATGAGAATCTATATTTAATTCATTAAAAACCATAAAATCATGGAATCTCAGAATCTGATAATCCATAAATCATTATTAAACAGAGACTTCCTTGGAAGTCTGAGGAGTCATCTATCCCCAGGTGAGCAAATATCTAAAACCTAGTAGTAAGGAACTTAATTGTTCTTACAGGAAATCAACTAAGTATTAGAGGACTTTATTTACAAATTTAATTTTTTGATATTGTCATGAGTTTATCATGTTTTGGTCCCAGGTTATCTCTGTAGAATAATTAATCCATTGAATATATATCTGAGGTGCTGTATTTTTAAATTATTGTCTGTTTTTCCTTCAGTTAATATTCAGAATAAAATACAAACTATAGCAAAATAAGTTTAAAGGGTCTCTTTATTTTGACAAGGCAGGAAATACTTTTTTAGACACTAGTTGTAAATTTTAAAAATCAATCACTGGCTATTAAGACACATTGTGAAATCTACATTTAAAACACAAATTGGTTCCATCTCCCCATTTTTACTCTCATCCAAATTCAGTTTTCTTATTAAATAAGACTAGTGTCTCTTTGATAGGTAAGTTCCAAGGACGACAGACATTATTCTTACCATTCCAACTCTCACTAGAAGAAAAATCCTCTGTAGTTTCAGGCTTCCAGATCTTTTTATAGCTTATATTCATCCAATACATGAATGGTTTTTATTATAAGGAATTCCTGTCATTAAATGTGAATTTTATGGAGCTGGCCACAGAATTTATATGATAAAAACTGAATACTGAAATGAATTTTACTATTTATTTTAAAATAACTAGTCTAATCTTGTCCCCTTAGAACATCTCCAAACTTGTGTTAGAATTAGGCCTGCAAGAGGAGCTGTGTGTGAATTCCCTTAGGTTGTTGGTTCTGTGGGTCTGGCCTGTGTTTCACAAAGTGAAACACAACCGCTGAGATCCTAAAAAGCTGTATACCTACCTTCCTTGCAACAACACATCAAATAACCTAGAGTTTTCTACATTGGACGACTATACTTTTCTATACTGACGAATAGAACCAGGAGTGCTAATAGATCTCAAGACAGTTACACAGTAGTGGCTTTTTGATTATGTGACACTATGAGTTTTAGAACAGTAAGGAAAAGAAACAAATCTAAAACAGGGTAAGAACTGTCCCCATCACCCTCAAAATAAAGTATGAATGGAAGGCAATGGTTTTTTTTGTTTGTTTCAGTTCTAGTTAAATGGATACACATTGTCTTGATCCCTTCTGTGTGCTATATAGAATACTACAGACTTGTGTTTTATCAACAACAAATTTATTTCTCACAATTCTGTAGCCCGAGATATCCAAGATCAAGGCACTGGCAAATTTGGTGTCTGGTGAGGACCACTTCCTGGTTCACCAATGATTGTCTTCTCCCTGTGTACTCACAGGGCAGAAGGTACAATAAGAGCTCTCTAGGTTCTTTTAAAAGGGCACACATTCCCTTCTTGAGTACTCCATCCTCAAACTATTATCTTCCAAAGGCCTCAAATACCATCACATTGTGCATTAGATTTTAACATCTGAATCTGCGGGGATGGGAGAGTTCAGGCACATAAACACTGTAGACATCATATAAGAATCCAGGGAAATTCTGGTGAAGAATACACTTGAGCCACATAATGAAGCTTGTAAGACAAAGGAAAAGTGAAAATATTCCCTTTATGATGAAAATGATAATATTTACACACTGAAACATCCTTGACAATATTCATCCTTTGGGTTTGAGGTATGGTAGCATAATCCTTCAAAAGAATATTACTGATATAGGAAGGAATCAATAGTGTGTAGAAAAGGAATGTCCTACTCTCCCTCACTTAATGCTTCTTCAAGATTTCATATACTCTTGTGCTGTTCCTGTCTTCACCATTTTTAATTTCTTCTCAATGAAACTACTGAGAAAACAGGAAACAAAAATGGTGGTAATGAGCCAGACATAAAAAATTTTTAACGAAGACCTTAATAAACAACTTTAAAATGAATATATTTGTGCTCTAGCTATTTCCATAGTACTTGGCAAATAAGGGTTTGTTGTTTCTTTTTCCTTGATCCATCAAAAGTCTTGAAAACTTCAAAAGATGTTTTTCTCCAGGGCTTCAATTTTTTAATTTACAGAAGAACAGATTTCACTACTAACCTCATCTGTTTCATATTCTAATGGCCTCTCTACCAATATAAATTTAGTCTTTATAAATAAAAAAACAGGTTTTCATAGCAGCAAGTCTGTATCCATTTACTGTGAATCTGCTTTCAAGGAAATTTGATGTTCCATCATGAATTAAATTATTTGGTCTCCAAGCAACTTCATTTGTATAATGTCAGTAGAGTTTATCATTCTCCATCAAAATTCGAGCCATTCTGTCATGTAAATACAGTTAGATGGTGAAATCTCACCACCTTCATGGCAGTCATCAAAAACCTTAAAAAAAAAAAAAAGAAAAAGAAAAAGAAAAAGTTTATATTCAAACTGAATTTTTAAAAATATCTATGACCCAACCACTATTTAAAACAATATTTTTCTCAACTTTTAAAATTGAACAGGATTAGGGGTATATTTAACACCATATTATAATAGAACTGCTTTCTGAACATAGTTTAAAGGGAGGCCTTTTACTGATGCATTAAAATGATTATGTTTACCTGCCCACTGAGTAAAAGGCTACCAGGAGGAAACAGAAATGCAAGAAGAGAGTCCTATACTATGAATGACTTAGTTTAATCTAACTGAATGCTTCATGTTTAGCTATCTTCCTTCTTGTGAAGGGTGCTAAACAGAATTCCCAATGTTAGTCTTTTATCTATGAGTTAAAATCAGGACATAGACAAAATCAGCATATAGACAAGGGCCAGTAAAATGAAATATAGCACAGACTAGCAATCTGAGAATATAAATCTATGAGGACTTGGGAGTGTCTCTTGCTCTGTTGTAGCCTCAATACCTGTAGCATACAGTTAGTGCTCAAAACCCACCTGGGAATGAATAAACCAAAGTGCTAGGACATATGGGGAAAAATACATCATTTTGGGGTTTGAATTCTGACAGTTGCTTCTAAATTGTTGCTTTTAGGTCTTCTGAAGCCTAAATTCCCTTGCTCTTAAGGGGGAAATAACACTATTTGCTCCCAGGACATAAGGAGGATTAAATGAGACCACAAAATGAAAATCATTAAGAACATGCTGGGCCAGTGGTAGATTCTCAACAAATTTCATTTCCCTCCCTAGATGAAATGATTAGCCCTCATCAAAAAAAAAAAAAAAAAAAAAAAAAAAAAAAGTGTCTATTTCAGGGCCAAGAGAAGAAATGCAAATGTCCTTAACCTGGTTATTCCAAGAAAGAATGTAAGGCAAAGTTTGTTCATTAAAGGTCTGTTCATCAAGGTTGCATGAAGGTTTGAACAGCTCTTGGTCAACTCTAAATAGTATGGGAAAACTGGAGTGCTTGCTCTGTGACATTTACACCCGGCAGTAAAGTGAAGTCACTTTAACTTACTGGGCAGAGCCCGCAGGGTGCTCGGACTAAACCTGTGGGTGGGATGATTGGATTGACTGCCCTGTACAGTTTCATATGTCCGTCTACACTGCCAACTGTGCCTTCTTTTGCAGCAATGATAGTCATCTCCACTTTCCCATCATAAATAAGAGTATTCAAGATGGTTTCAATGTCCTCCATGGACAACTCTACCTGAAAAAAAAAAAGAGATAAATTAGAAGGGATGCATAAAGGATAAGAAGACATCTTTTTGGAGGGGTTATAAACAGTAAAGAGTCACAATTCCTTGGTGAAATGGCGAAGCACTGTGCTGGAGGGGAGTAATGGAAAGCACAAGGAGGGTGAACGATGCTCCAAGTTAGCACAAACCCCTGAAATGCTCGGGACAAAAGTCTAACCTCAGACTGAGTCTGACACTTCTGAAGTCTTCACCCCCCTAAAGAAACATTTCTTTGGCAAGAATTTTATAAAGATTCTTAATATGCTTGCAAAGTTTCTAGTTCTTTATAAATTAGAAATCTGTTGTCCAGAAAATGAAAATGACTTGTCCAAGTGCTACTTCAGGGGCTGGGCTGTAGCTCAGTGGTAGGGTGCTTGCCTAGCACGCACAAGGCCCTGGGTTTAATTCCCAGTACCCTCCCAACCCAACCCCCCCAAAAAAACAAGTGCCACGTAAGCAGCAAAGAATACCAATAAATGATAACTGATGTCATGATTGAGGTTTTGCACATATGCTAAACTGTTCCTGCAAAGGTGAAGAACTTGTTAGAATAAACTTATGACTCTGGATGGTGAAATGCACCACTAGACCTGTAGTTGGATATTCTATGTCCCAAACTCAAGAATGGTTTAAGCAATGTCCAATGGGAATGACTGCCTTTACCTAAAGCTTAGGACAATGTTTTCTCAATGTAGATTCAGCAGAATGTTCACAGCTATTACCTGAAAAAGGGACCTGGTCAAATAATGCTTGGTATACACTGTACATTATATCTTTGTGATGAAGAATAAATTTTACATAAAAAGATAAGAAAGTTCTGACCTTGCTTATTCCCAGTTCACAGATATATTTCCATACTTCATGTGAAGAAGCAAATGAACTATTTCTTTGTATCATTGGATTCTGTTTGCTTTCTCGTGCTGTTTCTGCCTATAGGGGTTGGAATATAAGAGATCTAAGCAAGAATGTAGTAAGCACTTTCTGAATGCAATTTATACTGAGTCAAACCAAGAGTAGAACACATTTATTTACTAAAAATAACCAACTTCAGTTCTTTTCAATCTTATAAAATGTAGTATATAAGATTAAACATCCTTTATGAAGAAACTTTTTAAAAACATAACTTGTGGTGATGTTTCCTCAATTATGCCTCACCTTGGTTTGTAGGAATTTAAAACACTGTTGGTTAAGTACTTCTACAAATTCAGATTCAAAATCCTGGTCACTGTACCAGGCTCCACCAGTCACAGACCGGTCCGGCTGCAGGTTATAGAGCATATATACTTTCTTTTTGGAGGCCTAGGAAAGAATACGCACAGTTCATGTATGATAACAGTTTCTAAAAATTAAATTTTTAAAAAGTAAACTTTATATTTTAGCAAACTTTTAGATATGCAGAATTATTACAAAGATAGTAGAGTTGCTGTATAATTCATACTATTTTCCCTATTATTAACATCCCTATTATTAACATGTATTAGTATGATGCACTTTTCACAATTAATGAACCAATATTGATATAAATTTTTTTTTGAAGACAGGGTCCCACTTTGTTGCCCATGATGGTCTATTACTCTTGGGCTCAAGAGATCTTCCCACTTCAGCTTCCCAGGTAGCTGGGAAGTGCAAGGAACACTTGTACTTGTAGCTGAGGTTATAGGAACATGCCACCATACCCAGGTTGATATATCATTAACTAAAGTCCATTTTTTATTCATATTTCATTGGTTTTTCCCTAATGTCTATTTTCTGCTCCCAATTCAGGACACCATATCACAAGTAGTTGCCATCTCTCCTTAGGCTTCTTTTGATTGTGACAATTTCTTTCTTTCTTTTTTTTTTTTGGGGGGGGGGGTGGGAATGGGGATTGAACTCAGAGGCACTCAACCACTGAGCCCCATCACTAGCCTTATTTTGTAATTTATTTAGAGACAGAGTCTCACTGAGTTGCTTAGCACCTCGCCATTGCTGAAGCTGGCTTTGAACTCAAACTCTTGCCTCAGCCTCCTGAGCCACTGGGATTACAAGTATGTGCCACCATGCCCGGCAGTTGTGACAATTTCTTAAACACTTATATTAGTTTGGACTCATGAATATTTATTTTGTAATTTGAATTACAATCCAATACTACTGTTATTCCAATTTTTCCAGCTTTGAGCATTGGAAACTTTTCAGTTGGTTTCTGAATCCCTTTGACATACCCCAATCATTGTATAAGTGTTTTACACTTCTTACTTTCTGGTGCTATAAGATGTCAGGATCATCTTGTATATTTCCTGTCTTCATCCTAGAATCAACCACTACTCCAGGAAGTCTTGGGTCACTTTATTGGAAAATGCTATCAGAAACCATTAATTTGCTACTGAGGTGCCATTACTTCCAAACCCTCTTAGCTGACAGAGCAAGATTTGTAACCCCTGTATGTATACATACCTATAATGAGTATTTCTGTATGTAACCATTTACATTAAACATGAGTTCATAATGATGTCTCCAACACTAAACTACTACCACATGGACTGCCTAGCTCTAACTTTCCATTTCCACTCCAACACTAAGAAATCTGAATCTCACTGTTATTTAATAAAGAATTTGGTTAGCCTTTGTCTCTCACTATTTTTTTTTTTTTTTTTTGGTTCTTTTTAGTTATACCTGGCAGTAGAATATTTTTGTCTCTTGATTCCTGGGAAGTAACCACTACATTTTTAAATTTCCCAATAAGATATTTCCTTGTTATTTACTGGTCCCTTGGACCATACCTGGTTTTATGCTAACAAGGTGACTTTTGATGAACCCCTGAATGGGAGCTTTCCACGCTGGAAAGCCCAACAACATGATTTAGAAGGTTGGAACTTTGAGCCATGTGACATCAATCTAATCTTTTAGAAGGGGAGCAGGGCTAAAGCTTGAATTCAGTCACATCAAGCATTCAATTCATCAGACCAATATAACAAAACTCCAGTGAAAATTCTGAATATCAATGCTTGGATGAATTTCCTTGGTAACCATACATCAATGTGCTTGGAGGGTGATATTCCCGGAAAATATGGAAATTTTTTCATTTTGGAATCCTCCCAGTCCTTGCCCTATGTGTATCTTCAATTGGCTGGTTCTTTGTAGCCTACATAACTGTAATGGTAAGTACAACACTTTCTTGAATTCCATGAGTATTCTAGCAAATTACTGAATCTGAGGGAGTCTTTGGAGCCCCTAAATTTGTAGCCAGTCGGTCAGAGTGTGGGTGGCCTGGGGAGACCTGAACTTACAACTGGTGTCTCAAATGAAGATACTCTTGGAGGGCTGACGGGGACTGTGTCTTTAACCTGTGTCAGAATTGCATCGCAGCCAACACCCCCCATCATTTATATACATATTCAATTCTAATACACTATGTATGGTAGTATCAGAATGATTAGCCAGAATCCTCATGGGAAAAAATTGCATCAACTCAAGTACAGTTCTCATGTACACTTTCTTCGCTTTTAGTTTTACTGATATCCCTGTCCTCCCTCCTCCCCCTTCCTTTTTTTTTTTGTTCTTTTGGTAGTGGGGATTGAACTCAGGGGTACTCAACCACTGAGCCACATCCCCATCCCCAGCTCCAGTTTGTATTTTTATTAAGACAGGAGGGTCTCACTGAGTTACTTAGTGCCTCGCCGTTGCTAAAGCTGGCTTTCAACTCACAATCCTCCTGCCTCAGTCTCCTGAGTTGTTTTAAATCACAATATAGCTTAAAGAATAAAAACTTGAAACATACTTGGAACAACATATTTAAATGAATATTTAGGGAAAGAAAAAACTACTTACTGCTACAGACTTAACAGCTTTGATAAGCTTTTTACTTTCCAAATTCTTTAGAATTTTGTTGATTTCTGTTAATGGTAAGTTACTTTTATATCGAATATCTCTGCTCCATATTCCTATAAGAAAGTAAAATAAAATAAGTTGCACTATGGTGTTTATGGCTTTTTGTTTCTACTCCTATCATATATATCTCATTCCAAAACTACCAAAATAAAGTTATAGTACATCCTTTAACAAAATGTTTTACGTAACTGTTTTAAGATAAAAATGAACAAAAACACAACCCTGGATTTAAAAAAAAATACAAAATTATGCAAAACAATAAATAAGTGCTATTCTTTTCTTTTTTCTTTCTTTTGGTACTGGGGATATTGAACCCAGAGGTGCTTAACCACTGAGTCACATACCCAGCCCTTTTTATCTTTTTATTTTTTGAGAAAAGGTATGCTAAATTGCTTAGGGTTTTGCCAATTGCTGAGGCTGGCTTTGAACTTGGGATCCTCCTGCCTCAGCCTCCCAAATTGCTGGGATTACAGGCATGCTCCACTATGCCCAGCAATAAGTCCTATTATTTATAGTATAACTGGAAACTTCTTAGACTCCCATGCAGGTACCTTCTTAAAGGCATATGAAAAGGACATTTTTGTAATGAAAGACAAAAAACATGAATGTTATTAAATTAACTTATGTCATCTCTTTCATCCCTTCCTGCACCCCAATCTCTGTCTCCTGATATTTTCATTCTAGACTATAAATGTGAATAACAAACTTATATTTGGGTCAGAGGGTCAACTGCCATCCTCAATTGGGAGGAAAAAAAAAAAAAAAAACTTTTAGCTGAGCACCTCCATGCATATACATCCATTATTTATGCAATACTGTATTTATAAAGTAGAAACATAAAGTCTATGGTTCTCAAAAACACTAAAAGCCTATTGTGTAAAGTCATAATTAAAAGAAGGAAATAAATATTATATGTGGAAAGGAAATCTGCAAGCTACTATCAAAGACTCAATGGGACTGGGGATGTGGCTCAAGTGGTAATGCGCCCACTTGACATGTGCATGGCACTGGGTTCGATCCTCAGCACCACATAAAATAAAATAAAGATGTTGTGTCCACCGAAAACTGAAAAATAAATATTAAAAAATTCTCTCTCTCTCAATTTACAGATAAGATGAAGAAACTCAGGCTCACATGTGTCCTGCCCCAAATTTCATGGGTTGGAAATTTAATCCCCCAAGTCATGCGTTAATAATATTTGAGAGGTGGGACCTCTGGGAGGTAATTGGGTCATTTTTCATGGATCAATGGGCTACTGAGTGAGGGGCTATTATAAATGTAGCTCTCTCTGGGTAACTTCCTGTCCAATCATGTGATCCCCTGTGTTACCTTGGGATTCTATGAAGAATTTCCATCAGCAAAAAGGCTCTAACTAAATGTAGCCCTTGGACTTGGAACTTCTCAGCCTCCTGAATTATAAGAAATAAATTTCTTTAAAAAATTTCCCAGTCTGTAACAACATAAAACAGATTAAGAACCATCATATAGCTAAAAATGTAAAAAACAAGTTTTGCATAGATAATTCATTCATGTGGCTCAGAATTCAGAAGGTGTCCTTCAAGCATATATGTGTCATAAGTGCATATTCTATTCATTTCCTCTACTTTTTACACACATGGCATCATTATACTCTATAGACTAAGCTCTACCCAGAAGCCAGAATCTCAATCCTATATGTAACCCCAAAGACAAATGTTTTTTCTGTTTCATCCTTCACATGCTTACCTTTATTTCCTGCATCCTCTATAATTTGATATACTAGTTTTTCTTGGTTGTCTGATCCCTTCATTTTACTGTAGGGGAATAAAGCAGAATTAAAAAAGCAAAGGGGTATAAGACATCTAATAATCTATATGACTACTTAAATGAATTAGCAGACAAAGTCATCACATTGACTTATTTACCAAAAAGAAGGGCTTACCTTAAAAAGAATGAGACAGAGCTGTATGTATCAACATGAAAAGATGTCCAAGATATGGTAAGTGAAAAAAACAAGTTACAAAACAGTATGGATAGTGAGATCCCAATTTTATTAAAAAAAAAAAAAAGAAAAAGAAAAAGATTATATATAAATATATAATCACTATGAGTACTTATATACAGTTAGAAGGAAAGATATATACCAAATTATTAGGAGTGGTTATTCTGGGAAATGGAAAATATGATAGGAAGTAGGGATGATATGCAGGACAGGATTACATTATACAATTTTGTATTAGCTTTTTTTTTTTTTTTTTCTGACACACAAATTTTTTTTTCAATTTTTTTTTTTTTAAAATTAAAAAAAAAAAAAAAAAGTTGCTTACCCAGCATTCTGAGAGTCCTTTATTCTGTATAAAAGGCCTGTATTGCTCCTTAAGAGATCCAACTGACCCTAATGATAGTTTTTTAATAGAAAGTAGGAGTCAATTATTTTAGAGACATACACATATATTTATACATAAAATACAGTGACAGATGTTAATGCAGTCTTTTTTTAATGAATTCCAAATTTTATTTATTTTTTATTTTATTGGTTCTTTTTAGATATATATAACAGTAGAGTGTTTGTATTTTGACATATTATACATACATGGAGTATAACTTAGTAGGATCCCATTCGTATTTTAATGCATTCTTTAATGTTTTTGTTTATTATAGAGTAAAATACTCTATCTTCCCCATTTAATTTTTAGTTTCTCATTTGAGACTTAAGGTTTGTTTGTTTGTTTGTTTGTTTGTTTTTGGTACTGGGGATTGAACCCAGGGTGCTTTACCACTGGGCAACACTCCCAGCCCTTTTTATTGTTTGAGACAGGGTTTTGCTAGGTTGCTGAGGCTGGCCTCAAACCTGCAATCCTTCTGCCTTATCCTCTCCAGTTGCTATGATTAAAGGTGTGTACCACCACACCAAGTGAGACTTAGGTTTTGACAAAAGGCCGCGTATAAGTATGCTAGGCAATCTCTCTACCACTAAGCTACATTGCTAACCCCAATGTATTTTTCAAATAGATTCATCTCAAAATATTTCAAAATATCAACACTATTTTCTGTGTGAAGAATATTTTAAAAACAGCTTTAGAACAATAAATTAAATTCCATATTCAAATCCAAATTATAGCATACATAAAAATGAAATATAATTTGTATAAAAAGTTCTGATAAGGTTAAACATGCATCAATAGCCTACGGTACAATGACAAAATAAATTATAAAGTTAACAGTGACATTTACTGCTATGCATGATTTTTATTGTGTTATATGAAAGCTGGGTAGGAAGGTCAACCAATGAATGAAAGATCCGTAGTTGTATTATTTCTATATAATGAAGCAAAAATAAAGCATGCTGTCATTCTTCTGAATTTCCATGGGTTTAACTTTAGGAGAACCCAGATGATTACACTATTGAGTTTCTGGCAGTTCTGGGAAACCATGGCTGTGGGGGTCCCATTTCTGAGTTGTTAAGACTGGAAAGATTAACTTGAACTTGAAAACTGACTTACATACTGGATGAACTTCACACACCTTCCCTCCCTCCCCCAATCCCAATAAGTGGCAAAGCAGGACCACAAAGTTATTTGGAGGCTCCATTCAGTTGTCTACTCAACCTATAAACATTTAATGAACATCCATACTGTGCTAGATGTTATGATAACTATTTGGGGGGATAAATTCTTTGTGTGTGAGTATGTTTTTCTGGGGACTAAACCTAGGGCCCTTAGGCATACTAGACAAGGCCTCTACCATTGAGACACACACCCTATGCAACAAACAGAAATTCAAAAAGGGAAACACAACTAACATCAAAACTATCTAGCTGGCATGAAGAAAGAAGTAAGAAGTCTCAGGAGGCTGAGGCAGAAGGTTTACAAGTTCAAGGCCAGTATAGGTACTTGATGAGACCCTGTCTCAAAATAAAAAATAAAAAGGGCTGAGGATATATAGCTCAGTGGTAGAATGTTTGCCTAGCATGTATAAGAAAGTGCTTCCCAGAACTGCAAAAGAAAGACAGTGAAGGGAAAGGAGGAAGAAAAGAAGGAAGAGTTAAAAGTGGACAGTCTCTCAGAGAAAAGGCTATGGCCTAATGTAGAGATGTGGGTGACTTCCTAGACAATGGCAGATCTGAGTCCTAAAGGGTAACAGAAGATAGTGTGTGAAGAAAGCAAGGAGGACAGCATGAGTCAAGGTTGTGAGGCATGAAACAGCTTGATGTGGCAGCAAATCAAAAACAATCTGTTTCCTCTGACAACTAACTTTGAGGCAATGTGGTAGAGGAGATAAGCCTGATGAAGAAGACAGGAGTTCAGTGTTGTCAAGCTCAGGAATTTGGACTTGAATCTCTAGTGTTGACAGATTTGAGGCAGGAGAGTAAATGGGTCAGACTTACATTTAAGGCAGATCAGACTGGCTGCTCTCAGGCAGGTGAAGTCAGAGAAGCCAGTTAAGATGCTACTGCAAAAGCCTAGGTAAAATCCAAGAGCCTGAACACAGGTAGGAGTAATAGGAATGAAGATGGGGTTCAAGTTTGAGCACTGATTAAGAGCTAAGATCAACAGTGATTATTAATAATCATGTGTTTGCTCAAAATACTTCAATAGCTCTACCACTGCCTACAGCCTATAACCAACAGGACTGGCAGTAGGCAGCAGATGCAGAGGTGGTAAGAGAGGGAGGTACTGCGAAAGATCTTCAGAAAGAAAGAATGCAGAGGGAGGTCAGATGATAAAAAGGAATATAATCTACTGCCATAAATTACCAGAATCCCTTTCACAATTCTCCCTGGAACTGTAAATTTTTACTATAGTAAAATGATGAGAGATTACAATACCCCTTTTATCTTTGGGCTAAAACAGATCAGCAATCTGGTCCACTGCTTGTTTTTTTTTTTTATAAATAAATTTTTATTGCAACATGGTCACAGTTGTTTATGTTATTGTCCATCGGCTGCTTCTTGTTAAAATGACAGAGATGAGTAATTGTAACAAAAACCATTTGGTTTACAAATCCTTAAAGATACACTATTTAGCACTTTTTAGAAAAAGCTTGCCAATCTCTGAGCTGGAAGGCTGAATGAAATGGTTTAACAAAACCTGATCTCAAATCTCCATATCCAGAGCCCTTACAAATCTCACAAAGCTGGAAGATTTAAAAAAGCATATCAATCATGAGGCCTAGTGCAGAACTTTTAATTAGCTGCTAGTAAAATCAAACTGAAACTCTTCTTAGGAAATGGGAGTTTTGATGACAGAAATTTGGACCATGCAGTACCACAAACTGGGTATTTTTGTAAAGTTGGAGAAGAATGGTATCACTGCCTTCCATTCTTAAGGAGAACAATAGGTAAGAGCAGGCCTAACGGGTTCATGGAAAAATCCCACTGCAATGACTCTGGAGGCAGAGGATGCCCTTAATTGGACTGCTGGCACTTAGCTGGTCTTACTTCTGCCTCCTGAAAACTTCAGAGTGATACTGTGGAGAGTGAAACTCTAAATGAATAGACTCTGGGATGATTCACAGGAAAATCAAAGGGGAGATATTTCACAGGAAATGGTCCAAAACTGGCAGCAGGAAGTAAACAGGCATTGAGAACAGACTATGCCTATGTGCCCTTAACATACCAACTAAGTTAATAAACACAACAGTTTAAAAAAATACATGTAGGGGCTGGGGTCATGGCTCAGAGGTAGAGTGCTTGCCTAGCATGTGTGAGGCACTAGGTTAGAATCTCAGCACTACATATAAATAAATGAATAAAATAAAGATCCATCAACATCTAAACAAATATTTTAAAGAATACATTTATTTTGTTCATCTTGTAAAATGGTACGTAATTATTTCTTCTCTCAATTCAGCCAGCCTGAGCTGTTTCCTGGCTTGGAGTCTTATTAGTTATATCCTAATCCTAGCACACTTTCTGTTTTTTGTTTTTTGAGAGAGAGAGAGAGAATTTTTTAACTTTTTTTTTTTTTTTTTAGTTTTTGGTGGACACAACATCTTTATTTTATTTTTATCTGGTGCTAAGGATCGAACCCAGCGCCCCACGCATGCCAAGCAAGCGCGCTACCGCTTGAGCCACATCCCTAGCCCCACACTAGAAAGAAATTTATTATAAGGTATCCGTTTGTGTGATTATAGAGACTAAGAAGTCCTATGCTCTGCCTTCTGTAAGCTGAACACCCAACAAAGTCAGTGGTATAGATCAATGTCTAAGAACCAGAGAGACAATGGTATAGATCCCCATCCAAATCTGAAGGCCTAAGTACCAAAAGTGCTGAGGGAAGGAGAAAACTGATGTCCCAGTTCAAATAGTCAGGCAAGTAAATTCAACCTTCTTCTACTTTTTTTCTTCTATTCAGGCCCTCAAAGACTGGATGCTGCCCATCCACATTGGGGAGGACCATGTGCTTTCCTCAGTTAACCAATTGAAATGCTAATCTCTTCTAGAACACCCCCAGAAATAATGTATAGCTAAGATAGCCAGGAATTCCATCTCCCAGTCAAGTGTAAACATAAAATTAACCATCAAGACTAATAGAAGGCAATAACAATCATAATATATAAATAATTATGTTAGCTAGTTGGATTCTCCTTACCATGGACAACAGTCTATTGATGGCCACTGCCCGTTGTTGGGCTTCTATATGAGGCATTTCATTCTGAATTACTTGGTCTGTGATTCCATGAGGAAATTGATGGCATAGTTCTATAATCCTAGAAACAAAGGTATTAATGATATCATTTATATTTACCTGCTTCAAGAGGCAGTGGTAGAGAAGTACAAGCACAATAGTTTGAAATTGTGCCTTTTCTTTATTCACATTTGGCTGATACTCTGAGTTTGTATGATGATTTTGAACCAAAGCATATTAAAAATTGAGGAAGCTGGGCTGGGGCTGGGGCTCAGCAGTAGCACATTTGCCTGGCATGTGTGAGGCACTAGGTTTGATTTTCAGTATCATGAAGAATCAAATTTAGTTGTCAATAGACCTTTACTGACAACTAAAAATATATTTTAAAAATGATGAGGTTGCTTTTTAAATACACATTTACATTATTAGTGTTATTTAAGGGGAACACTTCTTTTCATCAGATATAAATTTTAAATTAGCACAAAAGTCTAACAAAAACAGAAACAATATTAAAGCTGAGATTTCAATGTTCTCAGCTGAAATAAGTATAACAAAATTAAGTAGTAAATCTGTAAGCAAGAAACAAATGCAGACTTTTTGCAACTTCAGGAAAAGTTCCTGCTATATTATTCCAAATAATTTTTCCCATGTAAAATAAATGTCCAATAGTTTCTGGTATGTGGGAAGATAATGTTTGTTAAAGTCACAATGAAGCCTCATGGAGAGAAGCTTGGCTATATAAATAGCACAAGTTGAGAAAAGGTTTACTCTCCAAACCTATTAAACTGGATGAAACAAGATCAGTAACAGCCATCTAGTGACATTACAGGAGGTCTCATTCCCACTGGAGGTCGAGGAGGCCCACCTTGGTAAGAGGATACCACTGGCAGGCAGTTCCTGCCCATACAGAAGCTTAGCACCAGGAAAGTAAATTGGCATGGCTTGATTCTGACCACCATACTGACCATGAAGTGGCATTGGGGGTGGGGGTCTCATTCCTTGCTGCTGTGGGATGCCTGGCTGTGGTGGCATCATACTTTCAATTGGTCCAACTGGTGGATTACCAATAAATGTGGGCACTTCTTTTGGGAAGTGATAAGGAAGTGTTAAGATAATTCACCATAACTGGTGCCTGTTTTTATAATTAGCCCTTACAAATAAGTCCAGATCTTGTTTTCGGATTAATAAATGCGTTGTTTATAACAATTTTAAAAAGTCAGGGTCTCTTATAACTATGCGATAATGTAGAATTCACTGTTATCGAGTATATAACATTGGAAAAAGCTTTAGATGCCCTAAAATCCTGAGTTCAATACTTCTTCTAAACCTTTCGGGTTAATGTTGCTTTGTAATCGCAAACTGAACCCTAACTTGGCCCAAACGTTCTATTGTAGAAGTTCCCTTAAGTGATGGAGCAATCCTGAATTAGAATATGTATCCACAAGTACTGCGGGGGGGGGGGGGGGGGGGGGGGGGGAGGCAGGTCTATTTTCAGAGCACTGATTTCCTTAACATAGGTAGTGCACCAAACAGCATCCGGGCAAAGTCAGTTATACCCATCATTGCAAGCTGTCAATCCCGTCTGGAACTTCTGAAGTCCTGTTCTCCTGGGGAAGGGTATTCAGAATCCCGCACTTTACTTCCCCGCGTGCTCACTCAACCTGCTCCGTCCACTCCCAAGGAGTCCTGGAGAATGGATCCGGTTGCCTAAATGACCGCCCCTCTGCGGGAGGAAAGGGGGTTCTGGAACCGGGAACCAAGCCTCTCTGGCTTACCTGTTTTCTATTTCGACCGGATCCGCGTCGGGCGGCTGCACCTTCACCTTCACCTCCGCCATTAGGGCTCAGTTCCTGAACCCTGGAGAAAGAGACACACGGAGTCACTGGATTACTAACCACAGAACACCGGTAACCGCGGAAGACAGCATAGGCCCGGGAGCGAGGGGCCTTCTTCCTCGTGTCGCAGCCGGTCCTTGCTAGTCTATCGGCTTGAGGCGGCCAAGCCGCGCCTGCTCCGCACCACTCGCCGACGCCGACATAGCGTCTTACTCTTGTGCACAATTTCAATACCTGTCGAACAAAAGAACCTGGTTCTCTTATTCCGAGTAGCAACGTCACCTCTTAGCACTTTTCAATTTCTCGGAAGGCATATTCTTGGATATCTACGGTAAAGCCTTCGGAATAGAGATCCAGGCTGGTACCAGTCTCTCCGCCCAGTGACAGGGGCGGGGCTGGTTGCTAGGAGGCCGATTTTTCCGCCAATCATTTGCCCAGTTCCCAGTGGGCGGAGCGCGCTCACCGCGTCTGTGGTAACCCGGGCTGCGGCAAAGGAGCCTGCAAGAGGCGGTGAGAGACAGGCAACCGGGTTGGGGGAGGCTGAAGTGCCTTGGGGGTCCTGATCTCGGTCCTCGTGACTGCTGGAGGAGGAGGAGGAGGGCCTCCTTTACTCCAACTAAAGGACGCAGGCGTTCCTGACTGCCCCTGATGGACCAGGGCGAGGACCCTATAGGGTCCTATAAGCAAGAAGATGGTGCAGGTGGAGGTAGTTGGGAGGTGGTGGTGGGGTGCTGTTGACCGCCCTCTGCGGTTTGAATCTAGTGATCAGACATTTTTCTCGGTCTCCTTCGCTTGAGGCCCACTGGCCTCCCAAGGGCAGCTACTAGTTCCATGCGCGAATTATTCTATCCATCAACTATTTATTTATGTCTTTTCAAGTATTTTTATTTTAAATGCTTCTCACTTGAATGGAAATGTGCGTAAGGGCACGTTCTCCCGTACTCCCGTGTTCCCGTGTTCAGTCACACTTTTGTCAGGCCCAGTGCTGCGCTAGTATCCGCAGTTTAGATTTTTTTTTTTTTTTTTTTTTTTTTGGTACTGGGGATTGAACTCAAGGGCATATAACCACTGAGCCACATCCCCAGCCCTTTTTTGTATTTTATTTAGAGACAGGGTCTCACTAAGATGCCTAATGCCTCCGTAGGTTGCTGAGGCTGGCTTTGAACTTGTGGTCCTCCTGCTCCCACAGTTTATATTCTTGGCTCTCAATCTGGAACTATCCAACAAGGGAGGTTTTAAGTTCACTCCTTAAGTTTAGTTATCCCACTCATACAATCTGAGACTGAAAATGCAAAGATGTTCAGAGCAACTGTGTGTAAGAGTTGCCACAACCAAAACTAAAGACACTAGATATAGTCTAATGCCCAAACACAAATTGATGCATAAGTGTACATAAGTGTATGGAAAATTGTAAATTTAAAAATGAGGATGCAAAAATTAGACTTTAAAAGTTGAGTGAATATGGAAGTTATAATTAGCACTTTCCAACTTCTTGGAAGGCATATTCTTGGAAGGCCTCTGTACTGGTAATTAATAATTTATAAGTACAACAGATTAAAGTGGGAGACTTGTGTTTGTTGATCACTGTTTATATCTGTACTAACTTCCTTTCTCTTCAGAAGTGATGCTTTGCAGTCCTTCTAAAGTGTCTATGTAGCTATCAAATTTAAGAACCACTGTGGTGGTTCCTGGACCATGGACCTGAAGCTTTCCCAGAAGAGTTGGCTCCAAATGAACACTTTGTGCTGCCTACACAGTTCCTTCTGGTCACCCTCTGTGATGACTTGCTTGAGGTCAAGGGTGATGGCCCAATAATTGAAGGAAAGAAAGGGTTATAATAATCCAGACGGAATTGAGTTCAGAGCATTAGTGATGGTCTCTGTTCTGTTTTAGCCATTTAATTTGTCCATTTAAAATAACTCCATTATCCCATCTCATTCATTCATGCTCTTTCTCAACAGCAAAAATAAAGCTGAAATGTAAATTATTTCAATTAAAATGGGATGATATTTGTAAGTGGCATAATATTCTCTTTAGGTTACACTAATTTTGCCATATTTAAGTAAGTTGCTGCTCTTCAGTTCTTGTATTCAGATATAGGTGCTTAATAGAATTTATTTTTATCCTTTTTTTTTTATAAGGAGAGAATATGACTGCTGGTTCGGTGTGTGTCCCTCAGATCATACCACTTCGGGTGCCTCAACCTGGAAAAGCAAATCATGAAATTGATAACAATACTTTTTTGGAAATGAAATCAGGTAGGAATCATATGTGTTGGAAATTGTTTAAAATAACATTGTCATACTCTTTGTGTTCATGTGGTTGCTGATTCATCTCTTTATATGCTTTCTATACTCAGGATGTTGGGAAGTTTGTAAAACTTCCACAATTCCAAACAATGTTGTACTTTGGTTGTTTAAAACATGGTATATATTTAGATTAAATGGTTAGCTTTGACTAAGCTCTCATTTATATAGGTACACAGTTCCAATTGATTCACCTTAGTTGAATTTAATTTTAATTAAATTTAAAAATTAAAAAAAATTAAAATTTAATTTTAATTTTCCCAGGAAGCTTGTTATTTTGCTTGGATAATAAATTTAACTTACTATGGGCTGGGGTTGTGGCTCAATGGTAGAGTGCTCGCCTAGCAAGCATGAGTTCGAACCTCAGCACCACATAAAAACAAAATAATGTGTCTACCCACCTATAACTAAAGATACATAAATAAATGAATATTAAATAAATAAATAAATAAATTTAACTTACTAATACAGACTTTCAAATGTCTCAGTTTAGAAATGGAATCCTATCTTTGACAACATCTGATGACGTACGGCACTTTACATAGCCTTTCTGAGTCTCAATTTCCTTAGAGTAAGATAAAGTTAGTCATATCTGCCACTTGGAGCCATTGTAAGGACTGAGTGACTTGGTATATATGTGAGGTGGACAGGATCCAGCATGTAATAAAATATATTTTAACTATTATAAAAATAAAAGAGAGACTATATCTCCTGGTAATATTTATTCTTCAAACTCTTAAATGTATCTATATACATACACACACATGTACATTTAATGAACATGAGAAATGAAAGCTTTATAGATCCAAAATTTGAAGAAATATTTGTCTAAAAAAGATTTTGAAACTCCAATTATATATTTTAATAAATGTATACAAACTACCTACATTTCTAGTATGTCTCCTATGCTTCCTAGACTAAGAATTCCAACTAAGAATATGGTTACATTATACTATGTCCTCCTTTATCTTAAAAGCTAATTTGATTTTTAAAAATAAGGAACCAAAATTAAAATGTAAATATGTGTGCTCATAGTTCTTATTTTGATACAAGTTTTTGTTTTGATACAAGGTCTCACAAAGTTGCTGAGCTGTCCTCAAACTTGTGATCCTATTGCTTCAGCCTCCCAAATACCTGGGATTACAGGTATATGGCACTATGCCTGGAAAGATACTATTTTTTCAATCTCAGAAATTAGCAAAATTAAAAGAAAAATAGGTAACATACTTTATTGGGGAGATTGTGGTTAAATAGGCATTTTCATGCATGGCGGGTGGCAGTGTACGTTGCTTAATCACCCAGGGAATGCAGTTTGAATATATTAATCAAAAGTACAAATGCAAAGTCAGGCTCAGAGGTATGTCCTAGAGTCCCAGCTACTCAGGGAACTGTAGCATGAGACTTTCGAGTTCAAGGACAGCCTGGGCAACATAGCTAGACACTATCCTAAAAATGTTTACAAATGTACATACCTTTTGATCTATTAGTACTATTTCTACATATTTGTTTTATAGATGTACTTACAAAAAGAATTCTTTATAGGATTGTTCATTACAGTGCTTATGTTTGCAAAAGAAAAAAAAAAAGCAAACAACCTAAGTGTCCCTCTTTAGAGAGTTAAATTGTTGTTCACCTGAATGAGGAGATTGAATGCAGTCATAACAAAAAAAAAGAGAATGTTCTTTATGTGCCAAAATAGAACAATTTCCAAGACATGTTAATAATTGAAAAAAGAAAAGAAATGTATGGAACAGGATATAGTATGCCACCATGAGTGTTAAAAGGGAGGGGAAAATAAGACTATATACCTATATGTACCAATAAAGTTTTTTTGGGGGGGTACGAGGGATTGAACTCAAAGGCGCTCAAACCCTAAGCAACATCCCCAGGACTATTTTATATTTTATTTAGAGACAGGGTCTCACTGAGTTGTTTAGCACCTTGCTGTTGCTGAGGCTGGCTTTGAACTGATGATCCTCCTGTCTCAGCCTCCTGAGATGTTGGGATTACAGGTGTGTACCACCACACCCAGCCCAATAAAATGTTTTTTGAAGGACACTCAGTATACCATTGGTTGTCTTTGGACAGCCAATGTGAGCTCTAATAGGGAGAATTTTCATTGTATAGCATTTTTAAACTTTTGAATTTTTAATCATGAATTTATTGCATTTATTTTTTTAAATATTTATTTTTTAGTTTTTTAGGTGGACACAATATCTTTATTTTATTTTTATGTGGTGTTGAGGATCAAACCCAGTGTGCCGCACATGCCAGGCGAGCGCGCTACTGCTTGAGCCATATCCCCAGACTGCATTTAATTTTTTTCAGGAATTACAAGAATCATTTACCAAGTCCAAAAAATATATAATAAGTCATTTCTTAAGAAATGCTGAAGGCTCTGCCAGGCCTGGTGGCAGACACTTGTAATCCCAGCAGCTTGGGAGGCTGACAGAGGAGGATCACAAGTTCAAAGCCAGCCTCAGCAGTGGCAAGGCACTAAGCAACTCAGTAAGACCCTGTCTCTAAATAAAATACAAAATAGTGCTGGGGATGTGACTCAGTGGTCAAGTGCCCCTGAGTTCAATCCCAGGTATTGTACCCACCACCACCAAAAAAAAAAAAAAGAAAGAAAGAAAGAAAAGAAATGCTCAAGGCTGGGGGTATACGTTAGTAGTAGTACAGTTACCTAGCATGTGCAAGGCCCTGGGTTGAATCCCCAACACCACAAAACAAAATGAATGAAGAAATGCTCAAAAAAATTAAAAATTAATTTCTGTTTTCTATG